ATTGCCCATTTTGATCAATGACCTTTTGCCATCTTTCAGGCAGCATCATAATCCCACGTTCAAAAAACTTCTGGTTTTTATTAGCAAAAAACTGAATCAGGTACGATTTGACATCATCATCATTATTGAAATTTTTACCATTCAAGGAGTTTTGTAAAGATCGAAACAAAAAGTAATCAGATGGTGCAAGGTCAGGACTATATGGTGGATGTGGTAAAACATCCCAACCAAGCTCCATTAATTTTTGCCGAGTGACCAAAGATGTGTGTGGCCTTGCATTGTCATGATGGAATACAACACCTTTTCGATTTGCCAATTCGGGCCGCTTTTCTTCAACTGCATTGTTTAATTTTGTTAGTTGTTCAATGCAGACATCAGAATTGATCGTTCGGTTGGGTGGTAAGAGTTCAAAGTAGACAATTCCTTTGTAATCCCACCAAACTGATAACAAAACCTTCTTTTGATGAATATCAGCTTTTGATGTTGTTTGAGTTGGTTCACCTGGCCTGCTCCACGATCTTTTCCGCTTGATATTGTTGTAAACAACCCATTTTTCATCGCCAGTTATCAGTCGTTTTAAAAATGGATCATTTTCATTATGTTTCTTTAGCAAATCGCAGCTGCTAATGCGTTGCGTTAACTGTGATTCTTTCAGTTCGTGAGGAACCCATGTATCGAGTTTTTGAACATAGCCAAGTTGTTTTAAGTGATTTTCAATGCATGTATGTGATACATGAAGCTTCTCTGCAATCTCACGTGTTGTATTGTGACAGTCCGAATTGATTATTGCTTTGATTAGGGCGTCATCAACTTCAATTGGACGACCAGAGCGTTTTTCATCTTTGAGTGAAAAATCACCAGAACGAAATTTGGCAAACCAATTTTGACACTGCCGTTCTTTTAAGGCTTCGTCACCATAAACAGCACATAACTTTTTATGAGCTTGGGATACGTTTTTCCCTTTGCGGAAATAAAAAAGCAAAATATGACGAAAATGTTCCTTTTGATTTTCCATTTTTCAACGAACACCAAACAAAAACTACAAAACAGATCAAAAAACTTTTTTTACTGATTAACAGCTGAATAGCCAACTATCAAATAACAAAATGTGTTTTATATTTGTACTACGTCTGCAAACCTAAAAATTCAACTGAAGCCATATATGTGTGAAACCCGCAATTACTTAGCTGCCGACCCAATATTTTATTGATTTTATTCAGAGAGGAAGGGACAGGAATAGAGAGTTAAAAACATTGGTCAGCTGCCTCCTGCATGCCCCCCACCACCACCACCACTGGGGATGTGCTGCAACCAAGGTACATGCCCCTGACCGGAATCGAACCTGGGATCCCTCAGTCCGCAGGCCGATGTTCTATCCACTGAGCCAAACTGGTTTTGGCCGAGAGGGCAGTTCTTAAGTGACGCATCCCAGAATCGGGCTGCCTCCTCTCTGGTTCCAGGTGCATCACCCAAAAACCCCAGCTGCCAAATCACCACAGCTCAGCAGCTCCTGCGTTGAGCGTCTGCCCCCTGGTGGTCAGTGAGGGTCATAGCGACCAGTCATTTTCCCCATTCAGTCTATTTGCATATTAGGCTTTTATTATATAGGATTTACATTCTCAGGTAATTATTTTTCCTGATCATAGTCACCCTTTCATTCCAATCTCAGCCCCTTGTCTGTTCACATTATATCACTTATCATAATTTCTTATTATATATTTACTGCCTGCTCTCTGCATCCCTGAAGGCAGGGTCCATGTGTGTCTTTCACCACAATATCCCCAGCACCTACAGCACTGCCTGGGACATAGTAAGTTCTCAAGAAATATCAATGGATGTACTTCCCCTCCCCACCTACCTGGTTTTCCTCCCTCCCTGGTGCTCCAACATACTCATTCCATTAAGTTTTATGAGCGCAGCACGCTCTTTTGTTGCGCATCCATACTACTTGAAGGTGCCTGCAATGAAGGGTGCTCTTGCCTAGAGCCACTGCTCAGATAGTTGCTATGGAGACCACTCTTCATTTCCACAGTTGACGGTTGCCCTGGAGACGGACGCTGGCGCTCGTTAGTTTTCAGAATGTAGTCTGAAACGAACTGTGTAGCCTTCTCCTTCTCCATCCCGCCTCCTGAAGCCAGAAGAAGCCTTTGACATCCATGTACCCCAAGCGAAAGTCGCCCCGGACTCCAGGGCTCCCTTCAGCCTTTGCCCGGAGAAGCCTGAATCCCAGGGGGATCTGGGAAGTGTAGTTCATGAGGCGCAGAGGCGTGCACAGCACCGGAGCTGCGCACGCAGCGTCGCAATGGGGACGTGCCTACAGGAAGCGAACCAGAGGTCCAAGCCTCAGTTGCCAGGAACTTGAGGACCCCGTGTTTGGCCAGAAGTTCGTTTTCGGGGGCCTAGGCCACCTAACGAGACAGAGAGGCGCGAGAAGCTGGCGCTAGCCAATGGGGCACCCCCTTAAGGCTGGCTAGCTCGCGGCCAGAGGCCAGGCGGGGGCAAGATGAGAGGCGGGGTGGAGGAGGGTGGGGCGGGGCTATGTGCAGGGCTAGCGCGGGGATTGGCTGGTGGGAGCAGGAGGCTTGAGCCAATGAAGCCGTTGTGAGCGGAACGCGCTGATGTTCGTGCTGAGAATGCAGGATCCTAATCAAGGCTTGGAGAGGATTTGGGGGGCTTCGTCCAGGTTGGTCACTGCTCTTCTCTTGCTCTTGGTTTGAGGACTCACCGGCTGAATTGAATGGTGTGGAGCCAGCTTAGTTTCTCAGGTTTGTGTTTTCTCTTTCTTTTTTTTAATATTTTATTGATTTTTTTACAGAGAGGAAGAGAGAGGGATAGAGTCAGAAACATCAATGAGAGAGAATCATTGATCAGCTGCCTCCTGCACACTCCCTACTGGGGATGTGCCCACAACCAAGGTACATGCCCTTGACCGGAATCGAACCCAGGACCTTTCAGTCCGCAGGCCGACGCTCTATCCACTGAGCCAAATCAGTTTTGGGTGTTTGTCTTCTAAGCTCACTTTCTAAGGAAGTAAATGTCTAGTATAAATCTGTTATTATTGTTTTACTAATAATGGATTTTCAATCACTTCTTGCTAGGTGTCGAGCTAAGGTCGAGGTTAAGCACTAGGGTTCCAAGTTTTGTAAGTACTAACCTTACAAAATAAATAAAATGTATAGTAATGTGTTGAGTGCTTATGAGCCAAGGATAGTGTTGAAAAAAAAAATATGGCATTAGTTTTAGTGCTGATAATTACTAAAAAGTATTCATTATACTGAAACAGCTCGTATTTATGCATCTTGGGTGCCAGGCACAGCTCTAAACCACCCTGAACAACAGGTCAACAGGGGCAAGTTTCCTTAACTCTTTGGCCAGAGTGTGTCCACCTTTATCTGTTTTACGCAGTGAGCTCTCAGGTGTGATTTCTTAAGAGTATCTTCCCAACATTAGGTTACCAGAAGCATCAACAGACTTGAAAAGGAAGTGAGTTGATATTTAATATAGTGTCATCTTCCAAAATATTGGTGTCACCCACACTTTAGAAAACACTAATGCAAGAACAAGTTGTGAGTAGAAAACTTGAAAACCATTATTCTAGGGCAGTGTTACCCAAACTTCTCTCATGATGAGAATCACCTGGTGGAGTTGTTAAAACACAGATTCCTGAATCCCAACTAAGAAGTGCTAAACTAGGTACCTGGTGAGCCGTAACTGGTTTGGCTCAGAGGATAGAGTGTTGGCCTGCGGACCAAGGAGTCCCAGGTTTGATTTCAGTCAAAGGCATGTAACTCGGTTGCAGGCTCTCTCCCTTCCTGCTGTGGTAACCAAGGCCACACGTTCAACTAAAGGGGCTCTAACCTGGTCTCTCGAGTGTATAGGACAGAGCCAGCCAGCCACCCACCTTGTCCCCACAGTGGACATGTAATGTGAGCAAAATAAACCTCTGCTCTGTTCAACTACTGAGATTTGACACTTTTAACTGTTTTGCCACTGCATAATCTAATTCAGCTAAGTCTCTTGGCTTAGCAGTGCTAGGCTTGGTTAACTCCGTGTTCCCCAAGCCTCATGCAACTCAATTTTTGCTGTACACGTGTACCACATATTTTCCCTTTAATTCAGTTTACTCCCCCATCCTCCCCTTAAACCAATTTATTTTTATTTTTTTATATATATTTTATTGATTTTTCACAGAGAGAAAGAGAGAGGGATAGAGAGTTAGAAACATTGATGAGAATCATCGATCAGCTGCCTCCTGCACAACCCCTACTGGGGATGTGCCCGCAACCAAGGTACATGCCCCTGCCCGGAATCGAACCCGGGACCCTTCAGTCCGCAGGCCGACGCTCTATCCACTGAGCCAAACCGGTCCCGGCTAAACCAATTTATTTTTAAAGAGGACTTGCACCTGGCTGGCATGGCTCAGTAGTTGAGTGTTGACCTATGAACCAGGTCAGTTCGATTCCCAGTCAGGACATGGGGGCTCAATCCCGTGTGGGGTGTGCAGGAGGCAGCCAAAAAATGCACTCATCATTGATGTTACTATCTTAGTCTCCCTATCTCTTCCTCTCTGAAATTATTTAGAAAGGTATATTAAAAAAATAAAGAGGACTTTCTGTCACTACCATGAGCAAGAAGGTAATATATTGTCAGTAAAGGAGAAAAAGTGGCAAGAATTTAATTCCAAGAGCCAAAAAGTATTAAATTCTAGTAAAAATTTTGCCTGAGCCTGAGGCCTGCTGTGTCTTTGTAGAGACAATACCATGCTTTCTCCTTGATTACTTAGGATTGCACTAGAATGGAAGTGTTGTTTGTTGACTATCTGAGACTGGCTGAACTTGTGTGGTTCCCTCCCAGTCTTTGGGAAAACAGACTTAACTGCCCTCTTAAGGGATGGTTCTCACCACGGCAAGCCCTGCCCCACTGGGACATGGAAACTGGCAACATGTATGCCCAGTATCTAGTCAGGCGTGTGGCACCAGGCTGAGAGAAGAAACCGACACTTTCAGACTCAAAACTTTAATCAGAGAATCAACATACACACAAGGAGGGCATTTCTACCCTGGCTTATAGCAACACAGGTCATTAATTATGAAAACTGCCCCCCCGCCCAAGCTGCTGACTTTCCACAGGGTTTTCGACCTGTGAGTTTAGTATTAAAACTCTTCATTGAATACACTTCAACTCGTTTTGAGTTCCCACCTCTCCCCCATCCTGCAACACTTTGTAGACCCCACTGGCCTGTTACCCAGACTAGACAGTTTCAGGGGCAGGGACCATGCACAGGGAGTGAGACATTTTGGCCATTAGAAAACCAGTATGCTCCCTACTTCACAGTTAGCCTAATGATTAACCATTAAGTTCCCAATTTCAAGAACAAAACCAACCAGCAGAACTCAAAGTGCAAGGCTTAAAAAGTCCAAGAGCCATAGGAAACATACTCTTATACTTTTTTAGCACCAAGAATATGAAAGATATTAAGTGTCCAATGTCTAGGATTGTTTGTGCTTCAGCAGACATGTCACTTGTTCACTTAGTGGGTAGGGCACAAAAGCCCAGAGAGGAGCTGCCATCTAGAGGAGCAGGTTGTGTGGTTCCGTGAGGTGAGTCTCAGCTGTAGCACAGGCCTGGCCAAGGTGAGCTGTCCACTTGATGGCTCCAACAGGAAAGCTCTTTTCCTTACTGGGCTCTAACAATCCTCAGCGGCCCTAGGCCCTAGAACTCGCTGTGACACGAGGGAATGTGGCATTTTAAGACGTCACTTGTCAACAAACCACTCCTCTGTGAAAATGGGACCACCAATTTCCCTTGGATTCCAGAAGCTTCGAGGCAAGGGCAGGGCTTACCATACTGACATTCCCTGTCCTGGCTCCTGGGAAAGTGCCTGGTGAGTAGCCAACTTGGACAAATGGTGCACCAAGAAGATTCCAGCAGTCCATCACAATTTCCACCACCAAGCACATCCTCTGTGTAGTGTACACCGTGACAATATCCAGTGCAGCTTTCCTAACTCAATCCAGCTGTTCCAGGATCACTAACTCCAATTAACAAAAAAATGGGTTCCTTATATAACCAGTAACTTTAAACATGGGAAGATTATGGGGAAAGGTGGCATGTGGTCCTGGCTGAGTGGCTCAATTGGTTGGAGTGTGGTCCCGTACACCAAAAGGTTGCGGGTTCAATTCCCAGTCAGGGCACCTATCTAGGTTGTAGGTTTGATCCCTGGTCAGGGCACGTGCAGGAGGCAGCCAGTAAATGCCTCCCTCTCTCCCCGTCCCTATAAAAATCAATAAAAACATGTCCTTGGGTGAGGATTAGAAAAAATAATTTGGCATGTATATGTGGAAAAGGTCCTTTTGAATGAGAGGTTACGAGTAGAAAGTTAAAAGTTTTAGCCATTTGATGTTAATTTAAGTGCTCTTCTTGACTTTCTGTGGGCTAGTTAAGAAAATACTGGGACAAAAAAAAGATGGAGGGAAGGAAAAGGTTAGATTTTTTTATTTTAAAGATGAATGTGCTAGGATTGGAGAACCAAATTAAGCCAGGGGCATTTTGGAGAAAAACTTTAAAATTAAAGCCACCCATATCAGTAAGAACATTAACTGCAGTAAATATAAAGAGCTTCTCATTCTCCTAGAGTACGTTTATGTTGTATATAAAGTATATGTATAGCTCATGCTTGGCGAGTACTTAGTATGTGCTGGCCACTTAGTGCTAAGTGCTTTACATCAGTTTATCCTCACATCTCTGAGGTAGGTAACTATTATTTTACTTATTTTACAGATGAGGATACTGAGGCCCTGAGAAGTTCCATGACTCTCTCTAAGTCACTTAGGTAGCAGATGGCAGAGGTGAAATTTAACTGGGGAGACTGGCTAGAGTCTACCTCTGAATTTGGATACTGCACAGCTTCTTTTGTATTTTCACTGTTTTAATTAAACTTGTGTGCAAATTTGCTAATCAATCTTTATTAATATAGAGATCTATATATATTTCAGGGGCAGGGGCAGGGGAAAGATGGACTTACAATGTGAATGTTTCAATTTTAGGTCTCAGATGGCAGGTCCTGCTGTCACCTGGCGACCACAGGTAGTATTGCTACTTGTTACTTTTGAGTGTGAACTTGCTGGTGTCGACGGAGACCTAAGTAGCAGCCAAAGGCTTTCTGACAGTGTTGACACTGATATTGTTTTTCTTGGGTGTGAATTAGCTGGTGCTGACTGAGATGGGAACTGAGGCTAAAGGTTTTCCCGCACACATCACAGATGTAAGGCTTCTCCCCAGTGTGAATTCTCTCATGCTGCCTCAGATTTGCTTTCTGGGAAAAGGCTTTCCCACATTCAGCACACAGATAGGGCTTCTCTCCAGTGTGAACTCTCTGGTGAATAGAAAGGCACGAGTTCTGGCTGAAGGCTTTCCCACATACCTGACAAACATAAGGCTTTTCTCTGGTGTGAACTCTCTGGTGTCGAACAAGTACAGCTTTCAGGCTAAACGTTTTCCCACAGTCACCACATTTATATGGATTCTCACCCGTGTGAACTCTCTGATGCTTGGAAAGGCGCCAGTTGTGTTTAAATGTTTTTCCACATTCATTACATTCAAAAGATCTCTTTCTGGCATGACTTTTCTGGTGCTGAATAAGGTACTTACTCTGCACAAAGACTCTGTCACACTGATTACATTTAAAGGGTTTCTCCGCAGTGTGAGTTAACTGATGTTCTGAGAGATGGACACTTTGGCTGAAAGTCTTTCCGCATTCATTACACTTAAAGGGGTGCTCGCTCTTGTGGATGAACTGATGTTTGGTAAGGGAGGTGATTCGGCTGAAGGCCTTCCCACAGTCCTCACATTTATATGGCCTCACTCCAGAGTGTATGATCTCATGGCGAATGAGCTGTGCACTTTGGACAAAGGCTTTTCCACACTGCTTACACTCAAATGGCTTCTCCCTGGTGTGAAGCTTCTCATGCTGAGTCAGGTATTTGCTGCAGCTGAATGTTTTCTCGCACGTGTTACACTTGAAGTGCTTCTCGCCACCCCTTGGATGATCTTTCTGTTCTAGGTTCTGATTCAAGATCTTGCCGCTCCCATCAAGTCCTTGTTTTTCTTGGGTGTGAATGCTCTGGTGGCAAGTTAGAGTCGAGCTGCAAATGAAGCGCTCACCACACTCCTGACATTCATAGCGGGTGTCCATAGCATGCATTTTTTGGTGCTGGACAAGCCGTTCATTATGGCTGAAGGTCTCATTGCATTCAGCACATCTGTAGGGCTTTTCTACGGCATGAACAGACTGGTGTCGAATCAGGTGGGAAGGCCGGCTGAAACTTTTGACACATTTGTTACATTTGTGGGGCCTGTAGCCCGTGTGAATTCTTTGATGTTCATTCAGATGAGTGTTTCGGTAGAAGGCTTTCTCACATTGACTACATTTGTAAGGCTTCTCTCCACTGTGAACCCTCTGGTGGCTCTTTAGGGTCAAGCTATGGCTGAAGCATTTCCCACACTCATCACACTTATAAGGTTTTTCTCCCGAGTGAGTAGACTGGTGTTTAATGAGGGATGAGCTATGCTTGAAGGTCTTCCCACATTCTTGACACTTAGAGGTAGTTTTTGAAGCATGAATTTTCTGATGTTGGAGGAGGTATTTGTTGAAGTTGAAGGTGGCCTTGCATTTGACACATTCATAGTGTTTCCGAGTGTGGGTCTTCTGATGCTGAATAAGATGAAAGGTTCGGCTGAAACTCTTGCCACACTCATTACACTTGTAGGATTTATGAATTCTGTGGGTTTTCTGCTGTTTAACAATCTGTGAGACAAGACCTGATGAATGGTCACTGTCTTGACTCTTACGTGTCTTCTCTCTGGTGTGAATTTTTTGATGCCTCAGAAGGTGTGAGTTGTTACTAAAAGTTTTCCCACACTTGTTACACACATAGGATTTGTAACCTGTGTGAGTCCTTGGATGGGCAGAAAGGCAAGAAATCTGGTTGAAACTATTCTCATACTCTTGATTCCCAGTTGGTTCCTCCGCCATATGAGTATTAATCCAATGCTGGATAAGATGGCAACTCCGGCTGAAGCTCTCCCCACATTCACTACATTTATATGGTATCACCCCTTCCTGGGCAGCATCCAGCTGACTCTGGTCTAAGTGGGAGCCAATGTCATTCTTACATTCCTGAGACTTAGCTGGTGCCACGTTCTTCTCGGAAAGGTCATGGGTCAGGGAATCCTCTCCTGTGAAAAGGAAGGACTCAGGACCAAGGCCACTCTTGAGCTCATGACTTTTGCACTCTGTGGAACTTTCCTTGTTGGTGACAATTTCAGAGCTTATAAGACCTTCTGTATCTTCTAGAAAACTATCTAACCAGCTCTCGCCTGTGAAGGCGTCTTCGAAGTTAGAGTTCCAGAGGCCATCCTTGGAAAACGACTCCAGTATCTCCTGAGAGAGTTCATCCGAGAATTCCTGTGGCAAAGGGGAAATCTTGGCCTCAGCTGTGTCTGAAAGAGAGAAAGTGTAAATGTCTCCTGTTTTCTAGGGTGAAAAGGCAGGAGCTGCAGGGTGAGGATACAGACAAGAGAGAACAGGGGATGAATCCTGAGTCAAGCCTGTCCATCAAGGGATGAAGGAGAAGAGGCTAGAATAGTGATTATCCAGCTGTAACCTTCATCACAGGAAAAGGAAACCATGTCCAAGATAGTTAAGATGGGAGCTGGGCTGCAGGACCGCTACAGGAAGGAGAGGGTCTCTCAGCAGATACTCTTCACCATCACCCTCATCAGCGGAGGCTTACTTACAGAGAAGTGCACTGATCAAGGGACAAGATCTAAATGGTAACAACGCCATAGACTGTTTCCATGGAGGCTATATTTACACGTTAATAAAGGTGTGGCTCCACATGCTTGGAAACAGCTTTGTGTTGTGGTGGCAGAAAGAGAAATCCAGAGAGCAGGAACCTGGGCCTGGGCTAGTCACCTCTGTGAACACACGAGCTCCTGACGTGAGCCAAGAATGGAGCTGCACGCTGACAAGCTGTGCAGACACTTCTCCATGGATTCTGGTTCAGGGCGAACCATGAGAAAAGCCTCTCATCCCAGGCAAGGCCCCTGCCTCTTCTTTCTCCCACTGGGGATGTCTTGACCAGCATCACACTGGGGCATCTTCACTGCTTAACCTGATCCTCCTGGGAGAATTGTGGCAGAAATGCCCAGGCTTGAGTTGTGGCCATCTATGGAAAGAGGGCTGAGCCTATACAAAGAGGTCGAAACAGGACACCAGGGTGTCTGTCCACTGTATTTAAGGGGCATGAGGCAGGAAAATGGAGACCAACTTGGAGAACAGAAGACCTCCCCCTGTTGAGACCGGAAGGACCAAGGAGGGAACAGAGAAAAGGCACCAGGGCAGCCACGAGCTGAATGCTGAGGTAAAGAGACAAGGAGGGCATGCAGTGTCCTGATCCTGGTTGGGACAGGCAGGCAGAAGCCAGCACGTGGAAATAGAAGCCCAGAAGCCGGGGGTCCGATGGTTGGGTAGATATACTCCATCTGAGGACAGGGAGCCATGCCACAGGACTCCACCATCCTCGCACCAGGTGCCAGTGGCCCCTCCCCACCCACTCACCAGGGCCTGTCACTTCTGGACTTCCTTGCTCCGGGATCTCCAGCTCTTCCCCACCATCTGGACAGGAGGTCGGATTTGGAGGGTCTGCAAGGAGAGAGAACAGCACTGCCGTCAACCAAGATGTGGAGGGCCATCCAGCCACTCAGTGGCAAGCTTCTTTCTCCTGACGGTTCCACGCTTTATCTAGCACACAGCCCTGGGGGCCAGATAATGCACTGAGCGATTCTGAGATGCCTGCCCTGCAGGGTTCCTGGTCCAGTGGAAGAGAAGGACTCACACAGTCACAATCCAGGGTGGTCAAAGCTATGCAAGTTGGGGCTGCGGACACAGGACTTGGAACAGCTCAAGGGATGAGTACAGCTTGCCAGGTGGACAGGTCTATACATACTCAACCATTCATAATTCACTCGTTCACCGTGGACCACACATTGCCCCAGGCTTCTGTGGTGTAAGCCCCGTGATAGAGGATGTCCGGGTTCCAGAGCCCCAGCAGCCCTGCACACTGCCCTCCCCAAACCTCTGCAAGGAAGGGAGCAGTTGTAATGCAGGCATGTGTGCTACAGCGGAGGGAAGGCCCCTGGTGGCTGTGAAGGTGAGGAAGGGGGCCATGAGCCAAGCAATGCAGGAGGCTGCTAGAAGCTGAAAAGGGGCAAGGAAACAGATTCTCCCCTGGAGTCAGCCCTGCCAACACCTGGATTTTAGCCCACTCAGACCTGTTGTGAGCTTCTGATCTGCAGACCTGTAAGAATAAATGTATTGTTTTAAGCCACCTCATTTGTGGTATTTGAGAAGCAGCCATAGGAAACTAAAACCTTCCTCATATACACACACAGATGTGCAGGGGCATCAAAGGACAGACATTTCTAAGCTGCTTCTATGGCACTCCTTGAGTACAGTTTGGAGGAAAGCTGTTCCAATGTGATAAAACTATATCAAATACAGTTCTAGTATATAGTCTTTTCTTTGTCTTTTGGAATAAATTATTCTTCTGTTTTTAGAAAAGAAAGAACTGAGAAACTAGAGAAAGGGAAATGAGTTGATCCGGATGACATGGAGCTGGGGTGCCCTGGCCCTGGAGCTGCATAGGTCCCAACCGGACTCTCAGCCGTGCCATTTGCACACTGTGCACGCTGGTGGTCAGAGCCCAGGGTAAAGGGCTAACAGAGCAGGCTGCTGCTCTTGGAATGCCTGCTCACAAGGCTGCCCTTGGCGGAGCCTGGGAACCTGGATTTCGGGAAAGTCCAGCATTTCTAACCAGTCAGCGGGACTCCCTGTGCACAAACTGTACTGCTGAACACCTGCTTTCCTGCTGAGCATCTGGGCTGCTGGTACATTCCAAGCAGAATGTGTCTACATAACAAGCCCTGAATAAAAACCCTGGGTGTGGAGTCTCTAGTTAGTGTGTCCCTGGTCGACTTTCACAGGTGCTACTACACCTTGTTGCTGGAGGAATTAAGCATGTTCTGGTCATCTCCATGGAGACAGGGCTCTGGAAGCTGGCACAAGTCTCCCCTGGATTCACACCACGCACCTCTCCCCTTTGCTAACTGTACTGTGTGTCCTTTCACTGTGATGGATCATCGGATAAACACTCTGTAGGGTCTTCTCAGCCGCTCTCCCCTCTGCCTGGCAGACTCCTGTCCCTTCCTTGACTCGGGGCTTCCCTAAGACTGAAACTGTGACTCCACTAGCACTGCCTCTCTCCTGCTCAGCTAGTCACTGCGCCTTCATTTTCTGACTGCTCCTGGATTTCCACGGTGAACGAGTGAATTATGAATAGTTGAGTATGTATAGACCTGTCCACCTGGCAAGCTGTACTCATCCCTTGAGCTGTTCCAAGTCCTGTGTCCGCAGCCCCAACTTGCATAGCTTTGACCACCCTGGATTGTGACTGTGTGAGTCCTTCTCTTCCACTGGAAGCTTGCCACTGAGTGGCTGGATGGCCCTGGTTTGTTACTCAGTGGAAGTAGCAGCCAGTGCTACAAGTGGGGGTGATCCTAGGAACCTTAAGAGAGCTGCAAAAATGACTTCCCCTCTTTGAACCTGTTTAAGGTGCTCAACAAAATATGGAAAAACTTCTCATGGGGTGACTGGAGGGAGGGAGAAAGTTCTAAGAGCTCACCCAGCATATAACCTGGCTTCTGACAGCATTTCCCACCATTCATTTAATTCAGGAATTGTTTATTGAGTCCCCATGGCAGGTATTGTTTGTTACAAATGTTGGGGTACACCGTGAACAGCAAGGTGCCCTTAGGAAGCTCCCATCTGGCAGGGGACAGAGCATAAGAGGAGCAGTCAGAAAATGAAGGCGCAGTGACTAGCTGAGCAGGAGAGAGGCAGTGCTAGTGGAGTCACAGTTTCAGTCTTAGGGAAGCCCCGAGTCAAGGAAGGGACAGGAGTCTGCCAGGCAGAGGGGAGAGTGGCTGAGAAGACCCTACAGAGTCAGCACGAGGAACCACTCTCTAAGGACAAAGAGGAAATGCTGCTGCAGCGGTAGGCAGGGGTTGGATCAGGGCTTGTCAGTCTTGTAGCTACTGACATTTGGGGTCAGGTAACCCTTGGTTATGGGGTTGTCCTTGCATCCTAGGATATCTGACAGCTTCTCTGGGCTCTTCCCACTAGATGCGAGAAGCACTCCCAATGGCCCTAAGTGACAATCAAAAAGGTGGCCAGGCATCGCCAATGTCCCCTAGGTGGCAGAATCAGCCAGCTGAGCACTGCTGAGCTACATCACGCTGGTTCTGAGGTGTTCAAGAGCTGGGAGTTCATCCTGTGGGTGACGGGGAGCCCATGGGTGACCACCAAGCAGGGGCAGGGTGCATACTCACTCAGCAAGAAGAGATCCTGGTAGTTGTCCAATGCCGTGTCCCAGAACAGGTCCCCCTGGTCCAGCCCCAGCTGATCCCAGCCCTCCAAAGTGAAGTCCATGGCCACGTCCTTGAGGGTTACAAGTTACTGAAACACAACACACTGTCAGTGACTCTGGGGCTGGGGTCAGGGGCTCACTCAATGCATCCCCCCAATGTGCCAGGTCTTTGACAAGAATCGTCTTGTGAGACCCTTTAGGCCGAAGAGACTAGGCATCCCCATATTTTGTAGGGTTTTTGAGAAGGGACACAGACAGGACTTAAACTCAATCAGGTCTGCCTAATCCTAAAACCCATTTATTTCTGAGTTTTGCAATTTTTTTTGTTAAATATTTTAAGTTTTATTATGGAAACTTTCAAACTTGAGATGCTGCTGGGAAGCTCCTGCACAGTCCCTAGGCCACAGCGACCAAAGGGCAGTGACAGTCTGGCAGGGCTGACACATGGGCAGGGACAACTACATCCAGGTGGGTTTGTTACTCAGTGGAAGTAGCAGCCAGTGCTACAGGCAGCCAGAGCTCTGGGAAGGTGGGGGAATTGAACTGCGTCTTAAAGGTGGTGTGACTTACCAGCCAGAGATGGGAGGCAGGGTAAGAGAATTTAATGCAACATGCTTACAGTAATCAGTCATTAGTAATTCGTTATTAATATGATATGCTTGCTCTAGGGCCCAAGGTTTGGTTCAAGTCACTTGTTTGACATAAGTCAATCCCACAGGCTGGGTGACCTTAAGTGGTTCCCCTTCCTTCCCGGGGCTGAGGGTGTATGAGATGTGGACAGATCGTGAGTTGGAAAGGAGACTGGGAGCTGGAAGCTTAGCGTAACATTTTACTACAGGTCCAAGAAGGGAGTGTCCCATGTGTGAGTAAAGGGAAGAGAAGAGACCGTGGATGGGTCAGGACTCAGACCATGCAGGAAAAAGCTGAGAAACCTGGATTTAGCCCGCTAGCAATAAGGATTCCTGGAAGGGTACCAAGCCAGAGAGAAAGAACATGAGCGCTTTAAGATCGCTTGGGGCCACCCTAGGACAGTGTGCCTGGAACAAAGACATGCCCACTGTGCAGCCTTTGGGGATGACCTGCTGGGATGGCAGGACTCTCGACTCACCTCAGTAATAGCCGACTAGGCCCAGCAGTCCGACTCCCAGTTCAAGCTCCCCCTTCTTCCCCTCCATGTTCCCAGCTGGCAGGGCCACAGGAAGGATAAGGAAACTGGGATACAGTCTTCCTTCCTTGTAGGACTGAGTTCCTGGCCATGCTGGATGAACCCCCAAAATGTCCAGAAGTAGGATGAGTCAGAACATGAGTCTCCCTGCAGGAATCACAACAATTGTTATTTATTGAAACTACCCCAGCCCCAAGCTTCACTATGCTTCAAAATCTACAAAGCAACTTCACAGCCATTCTTCACACTAATCACAATCAATGAATACAGGTTTCAGAATTGAACCTGGGACCTTTCAGTCCACAGGCCGACACTCTATCCACTGAGCCAAACCGGTTTCGGCAGCGGCCAGATTATTATGATCTCTGAATGCATAATAATCTGGCCACTCAGTGTATATTTTATATAATAAAAGGCTAATATGCAAATTGTCCCCTTGACCAGGAGTTCGACCAGAAGGCAGGCTGGCCAGCCGGCCAACCACCCATGTCCCCTCTCCCTGGCCAGGCTGGCCAGACCCTACCCATGCACGAATTCATGCACTGGGCTTTACACACACACACACACTCTAGAGGCTGGTGCACAAAATTCATGCACAGGGTGGGGGGCAATCTGGGACCTCTTGAGGGATGTCTGGCTGCCCGTTTAGGCCCGATCCCACAATCCAGGACTGCTGGCTCCCAACTGCCCTCCCCTACAGGCCTTGTCCCTCCCAACTGCCCTCTCCTGCAGACCTTGTCCCCTGCAACGGCCGTCCCCTGCAAACCTGGTTCTCTCCCAACTGCCCGCCCCTACTGGCCTGATTGCCCACAACTGCCCTCCCCTGCCAGCCATCTTGTGTGTTGGAGTGATAGTCAATTTGCATATTACCTCTTTATTATATAGGAGATATATAGATATAAATATAGATACACACGCACACCGAATGGCCAGATTATTATGCAATCAGAGACCCTAATAATCTGGCCACTCAGTGAATATACTAGAGGCCCAATGCACAAAATTTGTGCAAGAGTAGATCGTCCCGCGGCTGCCGGAACCACCTTCCCTATGGAACCCAGGACCCGGGTTTCCCTCGCGGCCCCAGCTTCGTCCAGAAGGCTCCCAGAAGGACATCTGATCTAATTAGCATATTATGCTTTTATTATTATAGACAGATATATAAAATTACTGCTCATTCACACATAACAAAAATCTCATGTGATACTTTATCTTACATAGTTGCTTTTTACTTCATTAAAAAATATTATGACCATTGCCCAACTTATTTTCATGACCCACAGTATGCAAAACACTGTACCAGAGGGCTTTTTACACGTTTGTAGACACAAAGCAGGATGACTCAATGACCCAGGCTCACAATTCTAGAGCCTCTAGGGCCAGATGTGCTTTAAAATTCAGAAATTTTCAGATTTTAAAAAGGTGACGTATATTTATACAATATATTTCATGAAAATCCCGGTGCGGTGTAGGATCAGCAGCATTTTGTTATTGAACACTTCAGTATTTCTAGATCTCCAGCTTCTGAAAAAAAACCTAGGATGTGGCCATGCCGAGTCGGCATTCCACAAGCTAGCTAGTTGGAGCTCATTTAAATCTACTTCCCCTTAAGTGGGGCAAATACTCCCTGATGTCCCTTAGCCCTGACCAGCCAGGTGCTCTCCTTTACCAGAGGCCTAGACCTCTGTCTAGTTTCCAACTGACATGTGTCCACATCTCATACACCCTCAGCCCTGGGAAGGAGGGGGAATCACTCAAGCTCATCCAGCCTGTGGGAGTGACTTGAATCAAACAAGTGACTTGGACTAAACCTTGGGCCCTAGAGCAAGCATGTCAAACTCACGGCCTGCAACGAATATTTTTGCAGCCCAGCCAATATAACGGTGCATAAGAAACGTTTTAATAAAAATTTCGTAACTTAATTTTTACAATATCCTGTTATACATAATTAATAATGAACTACAGCCCTAACAGGTTTGGCTCAGTGGATAGAGCGTCAGCCTGCAAACTCAAGGGTTCGATTCCGGTCAAGGGCATGTACCTTGGTTGCGAGGACATCCCCAGCAGGAGGCAGTTGATTGATGTTTCTCTCTCATCTATGTTTCTAACTCTCTCTCCCTCTCCCTTCCTCTCTGTAAAAAAATAAAACATATTTTTAAAATATAATGAACTACAACGTTCGCTAATGACTGATTACTATCATCGTGTTGTATTCATTTCCCTTACATGCCTTATGCGTAGGCGCACCACTTCTCTCCACTAATACTAGCAGCTAATATTATTTTTTAAAATATATTTTTTGTTGATTTTCTTACAGAGCGGAAGGGAGAGGGATAGTTAGAAACATCAATGAGAGAGAAACATCGATCAGCTGCCTCCCGCAACCAAAGTACATGCCCTTGACGGGAATTGAACTCAGGACCCTTCAGTCCGCAGGCTGACAAGTAGCGAATATTTTAGCGAATCGATGGCCACCTCATTAGTCTTGTACTGACTTGTTTGATATCCGCAACAGGAAATATTTCACTTTGGGAGAACAAGCCAAATAGGCTTATTTGTGTGACACTTATTAATCTGTGCAGTTATTCAGTGTCTGGTAAGTAAATGTTCAAGAAAAATATTAACTTTTATTAAAATGTTCTATTATTTTATGTTAATGATGACTCATTTATTTCAGTCCTTTGTATTCAGCATGTCTCTATCGAAATAAATCTATGTTTCTATGAAAATCGAAGCTTTTGGGTTTTTTTCGGCCCACATACCTTGTTTATTCGGCTGGTTTTAGCCTTTGAGTTTGACAAGCTTGCCCTAGAGTCTCCCTTCTCGCCTCTTCTTAGAATGGAGACCATGGCCAGATCATTCACCCTCTCTGCTCCTCAATTCCCACGGGTACAAAATGAGACAAATACAACAGGCCCACAGTCCCTTCTCTGGAACTCTGAAACCCAAAAAGCTCTAAACACCAGAACTTCATTCAGGAATTGGCGGCAAAACTTAACCCAAGCTGCCACAGGCTATGTCCAGCCTTTCTTCCTTTCAGTGACTCTTCGCGCCTTTCCTGGCAGAAAGAGCTTCTTTCCACGAACTGCCCTAGATCCCGCTGAGGGCGGGGGGTGCCTGATGATGAAAGACGCCCCCTATTCCCTTTGTAAAGCCTGATTTCGGAGAAGACGCTCAGGTTCTCCGCTAAGACCCACGAGGTGCACTCCTCTCCGGGCGCCGATGCGGAGGTGACGGAGGAAGACGCGAGGCCAGCGCGGCGCGGGCACAGACAGCGCTCACACCAATGTCCAACCCCTTCCCTTCCACCCGGAAAAACGCCTTCACTCCCCTCACGACTAAGGTGACCAGACGTCCCCCTTTTGGCGGGACAGTCCCAATGTTTAACAATTTGTCCCGCGGCGTTTTAAAACAGTCCCAATTTGGGGGAAAAAGAATCTTTCCAAAAATCGGGACTTTTGTTTTTTAAAGCATTTTTCTTTTTTTTCTTCCTCTTTCATTTTTTTTTAAATTAAGGCATTATATGTGTACATATCTTACCAATCCCGCCCCCCCACTCCCATACATGCCCTCCCTCCCCAGAGTTTTGCGACCATTGGTTATGCTTATATGCATGCACACAAGTCCTTCGGTGGATCTCTATCTCCCCCAGATCTCCCTCCCCTCCCCGCTGTAATTTGACAGCCTGCTTGTTGCTTTACTGTCTCTGAAAAATCGGGACTTTTTTTTAAATTTATTTAAATTTATTTTTAATATATTTTATTGATTTTTTTTACAGAGCGGAAGGGAGAGAGAGAGAGAGTCAGAAACGTCGATGAGAGAGACACACCCCCCGCGGACAAATTGTTCCAAATCGGACTGTCCCGCCAAAAGCCGGACGTCTGGTCACCTTACTCAAGATCCCGCCCGCTTCTGCCAACGACACCCCCTCCTGCTTCAGTTTCCTCTCCCCCAAATAAAATGAAATGGCACCGCTTCCCTCGGACTTGAACACGAGCCGGGCCCCTAAGCCGCCACCGAGCCCCGCCGCCCGAGGCGACGCGCCGTTCGCCGTAGACGCCGCAGGGGCAGCCCGTTCCCCTCAGGAAAGACCGACCCGCCCCGGCCCCCCGAGTCCTCAGCGACCCCAGCCCCGCTCCTCCTCACCTCCAGAGGGTGGTCCGCCGAGCTAACAGACGCGACTGACTCCGGCCCGGGCGGAGCCGGAGTCCCGGATCCTCTCACACCGGCCTCCTCAGAGCCACTTCCGGTGCCGCGCGAACCTCGGAATTTTCTCCACGCGGGACCCGCCGCGCCAGCGCCGCGACCGGGCTTCCCAGAGGGCTTTGCTCGCCGGCCCGTCTCCGCCCGCCGAAAGGTTCCCGCGCTTCGCGAGTACAGACAGACTCGAAATCAGGCGGTGACTGGATTGAACAGTCCAGTTTTTATTCCGTCGAAGAACAATCTAACCCGCCTTCTGCTTTCTAGAACAAGGGGAGGGCGGGGCTTTTGATTTTTTTTCAAGAAGACAACCCGACGGTTGCCATAGATACACGCTGGGGAAAACTGGCTTCTTGAGGAGACGCGCGCCGAGGCGAGATTGCGGCGGGAGAAATGTGAGGTCTGCTGATTGGCCGAAGCGCGCCTCGTAGTGAGGCACATGCGCAGTAGAGCTAGGCAGCGTTCCAAAGAGGGTGAAGTAGGGGGTGGGCCGTCAGCGAATAATTCCACCCCCAGCTTTGAGTCAAAGGGCACGCTTTGCCGCGAAGGCCTATGGGAAATGTAGTTCGGGGGCCGAGGGCTGGCGCGGGGCAAGCGGCGCCTGCGCGGGCGCAGGTCTGCCTCAGGGCGGAGAATGCGCGCGCAGCGCCTTCTTCCCCGGCGGAAGTTTTCGCGGGGCCACTGAGCAGGTGAGTCCGTGTCCCCCAAGTGAGTCAGGTATTTGGTCTCCACTCGGCTCACCAAGTCCAGAAGTGAGAGGAAGGCGAGGCTTACTTAGCAGGGAGGAAAGTCTCCCGGTGCCCTGTGCCCAGTTCGGTCGTGGTGCCTGTGACGTCAGCAAGACGCTTTGTGGGGCGGGGGGAGGGCCCGGGAGCGGGTTTCGGGGTGAGAGAAGTTTTCGGTGGCGGGGATATTTGGTCACTACCACCGTCGGCTCTTCTTGGTGGGCGTGGCTACCACGGAGACTGGTGGAGCTAATGGAGTTTGACAGGCGCCTCCCCCCTCCCCCTTCCCCCACCCCCGCATTACGTCACCCCTGGTTTCTGCTTAGGGCGGGGCCGAGGCAGGTCAAGGTCCAGAAACAACTGTCCCTCCTCCGCTAAGGTGGAGTCTAGCCTTTGGCTCTTGTGGTGCCACCTCTCAGAACCATTCGGGAGGGACACATAACATTTAACCCAGAGCAGAGGTTGAGTAAATATTGGCTGAATACATAAAGGAATGAGTGATAAAGACTAGCCTGAGGGTTGGAGCCTTGGGTTTTATTTTTATCTTTATTATTAACATATTTTATTGACTTTTTACAGTGAGGAAGAGATAGGGATAGAGAGTTAGAAACATTGATGAGAGAGAATCATCGGTCAGCTGCCTCCTGCACACTCTCTACTGTTTATGTGCCCGTAACCAAGGCGCATGCCCTTGACCGGAATCAAAGCTGGGATCTTTCAGTCCACAGGCCGACGCTCTATCCACTGAGCCAAACCGGTTTCGGCCTGTAGCCTTGGGTTTTAATCTTCCTGAACTAGCCATGTGACCTTAGACAGGTTAACTTCAACGCTCTGAGACGCCTTTCTTCCGTCCATATTTATTGAGCGTTTACCAAGGCCTGTCTCCATCTGACCTATTAAATTAGGGGTGGGGAACCTTTATTCTGCGAAGGGCCATTGGAATATTTATAACATCATTCGTGGGCCATACAAAATTATCAAGTTAAAAAAATTAGTCTGTTCTCTTTAGTCAAACATTTCATTAACTCACCCACCCGGAATCCCTTGGAAGGGCCAGACCTTATTTATACAGCCCGCTGGCCAGATGTTCCCCACCTGGATTATCAAGTAATTACTTGCTCATTTGTTTATCTTGTCCTTCCCCACCCCAGAAGGTGAGCTTTGTCAGGTGCAGAGCTGTGTTTCCTTTGCTGCTGTATCCCCAGAGATTGGCACACATTCGGAGTTCTGTGAATGATTATTCAGTGAATGAATGAAATTAGCACATGCTGGCTGCATAGCCGGTGCTCAATACACATGAGCTGTTATCTTTCCCTTACACTGAAGTGAGCCTGAGTCGGCCTATCTTTATTCACTTACAGAACACTATCACGATGGAGATTCCAGCCCAGTGCTTCTGAGGGCCAGACCGTGATCTCATAAAGGTACCATCCCCTCGGCACATGCCCCTTCAGCTCTGTTCCCACCAACGTCCTGCAGCTGCTCTCTTTTGTGTAACTGCTGTCATATTTTAGTCCCAGGACTGTTGTGGCCATAACAGAGTCTCTGGGTTACACACTCTGCCCATCCTGGAGGGTCCAGAACTGTGAGAAACAAGTTTCTGTTGTTTATAAGCCACCCAGTCCGTGATATCCTATCTAATAAAAGAGTAATGTGCAAATTGACCATCACTACAACACACGAGATGGCTGTCCCCATGTGGACACAAGAGGAGAGGGCATTTGGGAGGGACCAGGCCTGCAAGGGAGGGCAGTTGGGGGCTATCAAGCGTGCAGGGGAGAGCAGTTAGGAGTGAAGGAAAGTTGGGGGCGACTGGGCCTGCAGGGAAGGGCAGTTGAGGGGAACCCAGGCCTGCAGGGGAGAGCAGTGGGGGCGCGGGGGGAGACCAGGCCTGCAAGGGAGGGCAGTTAGGGGCAAACACACTGGCAGGCGAGCAGTCAGGCAGCAATCAGGCTGGCAGTGGAGTGGTTAGGGGGTGATCAGGCTGGCAGGCAGAAGCGGTTAGGGGCAATCAGGAAGGCAGGCAGGTGAGCATTTGGGAGCCAGCAGTCCTGGATTGTGAGAGGGATGACCAACTGCCTGTTTAGGCCTGATCCTACAGGGGTCCCAGATTGGAGAGGGTGCAGGCTGGACTGAGGGACACCCCTTTCCCGCGCATGAATTTCGTGCACCAGGCCTCTAGCGTTATTATAGTGGCCCAGACAGACTGAGGCAGGACCCTAACCTAATATGACTGGGGTCCTTATGAGAAGGTGAGAATAGGACACAGACAGAAGGGAGACCACGTGAGGACACAGTGAGAAGGCAGCCATCTGCCAGCCAAGGAGGGAGGCCTCCGAGGAAACCAAGCTGGTTGGTGCCCTGATCTCTGACGTCTAGCCTCCAAAACTGTGTAGAAAATAAATTCCTGTTGTTTACGTCACCCTGTCTGTGGTATTTATTTATGGCAGCCTTGGCAAATGAATACACCTGTCATATCTTCATTGGTGGTAGGCTCTATGTGCGAGTTTGGTTTTGATTTTTAAAGTACTAGGAGATATTCCAGAGATACACAAGGCTTAGAGGAAAATGCAGTCAGTACCTGCTGACTCACTAAGTTAGGATAGGATAGGTTGTGCTGCGGTAACATATAAACCCTGAGATCTTGGTGGCTCAATACAATAGTTTATTTGCTGATCAGGAGCTTCCAGCCCTCCTTCATCTCGTAGCTGTATCCTTTGGAGTATGTGTCCTCCAGGGCCATCCCTGCAGGGGAGGGAAAGCCCAAAGAAGTACTAAGGCTCTTACCCGCCTCAGCCAGAAAAATGACTTCCACTTAGACTCCATTGGCTAGAACTAGTCATGTGGCCCCAATCTGACTGCAAGGTATCCTGGGAAGTATAGGAGATCCGGTGGGTTTTTTGGTGAGCATCAGCTATCTCTCCCTCAGTGCTTCTGTGATTAGACCAGTGCCTATGTAATTTTTTTAAATTATATTTTTATCGATTTTTTACAGATTGGAAGGGAGAGAGATAGAGAGCTAGAAACGTTGATGAGAGAGAAACACCGACCAGCTGCCTCTTGCACACCCTGTACCAGGGATGTGCCCGCAACCAAGGTACATGCCCCTGACCGGAATCGAACCTGGGACCTTTCAGTCCACAGAGTGAGGCTCTACCACTGAGCCAAACTGGTTTCGGTTCCTATGTAATTTTTATTGACTTCAAGACACTCTCCTGTCTTTGCTGAGATCTGCAGTTTCTGCCTTGTCCTGTTTCCTCTTTGCCCCGGGCCCTTAGAGACAGATGGCTAGAGGCTAGACACAGTGGGCGGGCACTCGTTTAAGGAGTGGCCACTTCCTGAGGATATATTCTGTGAGTAATTGCTTTTCTTTCTTTTGCAATCTCATCTCCATAAGGAACTTGGCCGTGGATTAAGTTTCTCTTTCACCTTCCCGTTCCCTGCCGCACACTTGTGTTTTCTAGCATGAGCAACTTCTGTCCAGACTGTGGCAAAAGTCTCCAAGCAACGTTCAAATTCTGCCCTCACTGCGGAAAGGCTTTACCGACAGAGAGCCCTGAGGGGTCCCAGGCCTTTGCCAGACCGGTTTCGTCCATCTTCGTAGGTAAGGAAGGCTTCGAGCTTCTCTCTGGAGAGTGGGTGAGGGGCCTGTGTGCAGACATGTGGGAGGGAGCGCTCTCTCTTCAGTCTGACCCTGCCTTGACCCTGGAGAAGCCCAGAGCCCCAGCTCTCTCTCTCTTTGCTCCATTTCTTGGCATCTTGGCCTCCTGGCTTTATAGTTGACAAGCCCCGCCTCTCTGGCTCCAGCCTGGGCTTTTCCACTGGAACCCAGATTCGTGCCTATCAGACTGTCTGCTTGACCGCTCTTAGATGCTCACGCACATCTGTGCACGCCCAAAACTGAGCTCCTGATGCAACTGCCCTCGATCCGCCCCGTCCATAGACTTCCCCATCGTGGTAAATGGCAACTTGTCTGTCTGGTTCCTCAGAGCAGACCATGGAGTCCTCCTAAGTCCCCTCTCTCTCCCACCCACAATTTTAACCCTTTGGCAAATCTTGTCTGTTTAAAATCAGTGCCGGATCAGACCACTTCATTCCACCTCCTCTGCCACCACCCTGGCCCGTCCCACCCTCACCTGTCACTAATGTTGTTGAAGAAACCTTCTCCTGGTCCCCTTTCTCTCTCCTCTACGGTCTTCTATGTGGCAGCCAGACAGATCCTGTTCAAACAGAGTCTGACCCTGCCTTCCTCTCCTCAGCACCTTCCCAGTTAGGCCTGACATGGTCAGGTCCCCATAGTCTCCCAGCTCCTCTCCATTCCCTCTTGTTGTTGCTTATGCATCTCCAGCCACCTGGGCCTCTTCCCTCTCCCTCCACACCTCAGGCATGCCTGGGCCGCTGAGCCATTGCACTTGCTGTTCCCTCTGTTCTTTCCACTCTCCCCCTGACACGTCTAATTAAAATCACACCTCCTCACTCTGGCCAGTTTGGCTCACTGGATAGAGCATCGGCTTGTGGACTGAAGGGTCCCGGGTTAGATTCTGGTCAAGGGCACATGACTGGGTCGTGGGCTCAATCCCCAGTGTGGGGTGTGCAGGAGGCAGCCGATCAATGATTCTAACTCATTATTGGTGTTTCTATTTCTCTCTCCCCCTTCCTTCCTCTCGGAAATTATATATATATATATATATGTATGTATGTATGTGTGTGTATATATATATATATATATATATATATATACATATACATATACATATATATATATAAAAAATAAGGAAACGAATTTTAAAAATTGATTTTTTTAAAAAATCACACTGCCGAAACCGGTTTGGCTCAGTGGATAGAGTGTCAGCCTGCGTATTGAAAGGTCCTGGGTTTGATTCTGGTCTAGGGCATGTACCTTGGTTGTGGGCACATCCCCAGTAGGGGATGTGCAGGAGGCAGCTGATCGATGATTATCTCTCATCGATGTTTCTAACTCTCTATCCCTCTCTCTTCCTCGCTGTAAAAAAATCAATAATATATATATATATATATATATATATATATATATATAATTATTTTTTTTTTTTTTTTTTTTTTTTTTAAATCACACCTTCTCTGTCCAGCTGGTGTGGCTCAGAGGCACATGCCTGGCCAAGGGCACATCCCCAGTGTGGGGCGTGCAGGAGACAGCCGGTTAGTGATTATTTCTCATCAATGATGTTTCTTTTTCCCTCTCTGAAATCAATGAAAATATATTTAAAAATCAAATAAAATCACACCTTCCCTATACATAACACTCCCAAACCCCTTTTCCTGCTTTATATTGCCTTTTGGTACTTTGAGTATCAACCCAGTTGAGTACAGTATTTTACTTATTTCTGTTGCTTCTCATTTTACACTCTATAAGGAGAGGAAGTCATTGTGGTCTGTAGGCTGTGTTGACTGTGGTTTGTCTGCACAGCGCTCGGGACCATTCCTGGCACAATCTTCTTGATTGGCTGACTAAATAAATGACTCATGGGTCAGCTAGGGTCCTGGCCAGGGGAAAGTCCAGGCACAGATCCTGGTGAATCGAGATGTATTTACTTATCTGAAAGCCACCGAAGGGAGTTGGCAGACATGGCAGAAAGTTCAGCAGCATTCATTTTATCATTTGGGATTGTATTTGGCTGTCAGTATCAGAAAATGCTACTTCAAGACTAGAAACAAATGAATGGATTTATTTTTCTTATTAAAATAAGTCTGGCCTGGCCAATATGTCTCAATCCTTTTTTTTTCCTTCTTTTTTTAAAATATATTTTATTGACTTTTTTACAGAGAGGAAGGGAGAGGGATAGAGAGTTAGAAACATCGATGAGAGAGAAACATCGATCAGCTGCCTCCTGCACACCTCCTACTGGGGATGTGCCCACAACCAAGGTACATGCCCTTAACCGGAATCAAACCTGAGATATTTCAGTCCCCAGGCCAACGCTCTATCCGCTGAATCAAACGGGTTTCGGCCTACTTTATTTTTTATATATATTTTTTTTCACTGATTTCAGAGAGGAAAGAGAGGGAGAGATAGCTAGAAACATCAGTGATGAGAGAGAATCAGGGATTGGCTGCCTCCTACATGCCCGACACCCCCACTGGGTTCATAGGTTGACATTCAACCACTGAGCCATGCTGGCCGGGCAAGAATATCTCTTTTAAAACAATTGACTGCCCTGGCCAGTGTGGCTAAGTTGGTTGGAGCCTCATCCCGTACACCAAAAGGTCATAGGTTCAATTCCCGGTCAGGCCACATACTTACCTTGTGAGTTCGGTCCCCGGTTGGGGTTTGTGCAAGACACAACCAATCGATGTTTCTCTCTCTTTTCCTCTCTCTAAAATTAATAAACACAGCCTCAGGTGAGGATTAAAAAACACACACAAGCTGAAACCGGTTTGGCTCAGTGGATAGAGCATTAGCCTGCAGACTGAAGGTTTGATTCTGGTCAAGGGTATGTGCATTGGTTGCGGGCACATCCCCGGTGGAGGGTGTGCAGGAGGCAGCTCTTCGATGGTTCTCTCTCATCGATGTTTCTAACTCTTCTATCCCCCTCCCTTCCTCTCTGTAAAGTAATCAATAAAATATATTTACACACACACACCCCTGCCAAAGAAGAAGCAAGACTTGGCTGTGAGGGTCAAGGGTAGAGTGTGGTTGACTTTGAACTTGAGTTTATGGTTTTATGTTTCCTGGAAAGGGCCTTTGTAACTCTCGTTTGCATTCGGTCTTCCTCTCTCTAGGCTCCAGAAAAGAGAAGAACCCCAGTTATGAACCCGCTCCCAAGAAAGTGAAATGGTCCAGCTGTTGTAGCACGTCTTCGTCATCCTTCTTGTCAGACTACGAGAGTTCTGAGTCTGAAGATGCCTTGAAGGGCAAAAGTAAGAGTTAGGATCAGCTGAAACCGGTTTGGCTCAGTGGATAGAGCATCGGCCTGCGGACTGAAGGGTCCCGGGTTCGATTCCGGTCAAGGGCATGTACCTTGGTTGCGGGCACATCCCCAGTAGGGAGTGTGCAAGAGGCGGCTGATCGATGATTCTCATCGATGTTTCTAACTCTCTATCCCTCTCTCTTCCTCTCTGTAAAAAATCAATAAAATATATATTTAAAAAAAAAAAAAAAGAGTTAGGATCAGTCTGGCCTGATTCTAGACGGTTTAAAGGCGGGTCATCTGACAGGGTTTGGGCGCTCAGGCGTCACTCACACCTGCCTGGACCCTTATCCCAGCCTCCAGGTCCCCCTCCAATCCCATCTCTACACAGAATTGACCCCCGTCCCTCCCTGATCACAGTCACCTTCTGTTCCCATTGCCCCACAGTCTCACCTCTTCAACCTGGCACCTGACACTCTGTGCGACCTGGATCCTGTCTTAGCTCTCACAACAACCTCTGTGCACAGAAAATTTACTTTCTGGCCCTCGCTGGTTTGGCTCAGTAGATAGAGCATTGGCCTGCAGACTGAAGGATCCAGGGTTTGATTCCGGTCAAGGGCACATGTCCAGGTTGCAGGCTCAATCCCCAGTGGGGGGCAGTCGATCAATGATTCTCTCTCATTGATGTTTCTATCTCTCTTTCTCTTCCCTTCCTCTCTGAAATCAATAAAATATATATATATATATATATATTTTTTTTTTTTTTTTAAAGGCCGAAACCAGTTTGGCTCAGTGGATAGAGCATCATCCTGCGGACTCAAGGGTCCCAGGTTCGATTCCAGTCAGGGGCATGTGCCTTGGTTGCGGGCACATTCCCAGTAGGGAGTGTGCAGAAGGCAACTGATCGATGTTTCTCTCTCATTGATGTTTCCAGCTCTCTATCTCTCTCCCTTCCTCGAAAGAAAGAAAATTTACTTTCTAGAGGTACTTTGAGGGGCCCTCAGCCTTTGGTCTTTGCCTGTCTGTTTCCTCAGCAGGGATCCTCCCCTCCCTGCCCTGCTGGCATGCCGCCACTTTCCCAACACGCGGTCAGGTCTCCAGGAAGCCTTTTCTGAGCTCCACAGGCTGAGTCAGGGCCATCTCCTTTCCCTCAGAGCCTCTCTCTGCTCTTTGCGCACCTGCCGTGCCAGTGCCAGTCCCTGGAGCACCAGTGCCATCTAGGCTTCTGGCAGCCAGCGAGGAAAGGAGGCTTGCGGGCCACAAGCCGCTCTCCTCCCCCCCAGGTCCTGAGATCTGACGTCGCAGCCCTCCGTGTCTCCTCTTTGTCCCTTGTTATCCTGTAGGCCCCACCACCGCGGGCCATTCTGTGCCTTGGGGAGGTGGGAGGTGGGAGGAAGGGGGACGTTCATATTTTTTTCTATGTCCACGTCCAGTTGATATCTTTTCCTCCTCACCACACCTCCCCATTCTCTTGCCAGTCCGGCAGCCAGTCAAGGGCAGGGCCACAGCCTAATAAGTTTCTTTCTTTCTTTCTTTTTTTCTTTCTTTTTAATATATTTTATTGATTTTTTTTATAGAGAGGAAGGGAGAAGGATAGACAGCTAGAAACATAGACCAGCTGCCTCTTGCACACCCCCTACCGAGGATGTGCCCGCAACCAATGTACATGCCCTTGACCGGAATCGAACCCGGGACCTTTCAGTCTGCAGGCCGACGCTTTATCTATTGTTGTTTTTCATTCGGCACAAATTTCTTTATACTTAGCACAAGGCCAAGTCTTGTCTCGGGATGTTTTTTGGTTGAATGTCTAGAATGTCTTTCTTCCCCTGGCAAGTTCTATTCATTCAACAGGACCGAACGCCAATGTCCCCTCCTCCTGGAAGCCTTCCCTGACTTCTCCAGGCCCCGCCAGTCTCCTTTCCATAGCTCTCTGACTGCCTTGCCCTGATGGCTGTGTCCAGGTCAGACTCCCCCACCTAAGCAGGGCTCTGGTGGGAGGGGCCCAGGTCTGACTCACGTCACAGGGACCTGACCCGCCGAAACCGTTTGGCTCAGTGGATAGAGCGTCGGCCTGCGGACTGAAAGGTCCCAGGTTCGATTCCGGTCAGGGGCATGTACCTTGGTTGCAGGCACATCCCGAGTGAGGGGGGTGCAAGAGGCAGCTGATCAATGTCTCTCTCATCGATGTTTCTGACTCTCTGTCCCTCTCTCTTCCTCTCTGTAAAAAGTCAATAAATTATATATTTTTTAAAACACACACACACAAAAAAACAAAGACCTGACCCGTGAGAAGTTTCAGGAACCATTTTGTTGTTTTTCTTTTTTTCTCTTTTCTTTTTTAATATATTTTATTGATTTTTCACAGAGAGGAAGAGAGAGGGATAGAGAGTTAGAAACATCGAAGAGAGAGAATCATCAATCAGCTGCCTCTTGCTCACCTCCTACCGGGGACGTGCCCACAACCAAGGTACATGCCCTTGACCAGAATCGAACCCGGGACCTTTCAGTCCGCAGACCGACGCTCTAGCCACTGAGCCAAACCGGTCTTCGGCTTGTTGTTGTTTTTCATTTGAACAAATGAATAAGTGAACAGAACTATGAGTATTGTCTCATTATTCATTCAACTTTTCTCTCCCGGATGCCCCTTCTCCTTGATTCTGGCCACCCTGCCATAGGATGGACCAGTCCTCTGATCCCCAAAAGCAGCCCGCAGAAGAAAAGCCCCCGGACCCAGAAGCGGCACCATGTGACCATCTCCCTGGAGGCTTTGCCTCAGGGGACAGTGATGACGGACAAGAATGGACGGTACTGGAGGCTGGCATCCTTGCAGACCAGGGACGACCAGGGCATTGTCTATGAAGGTACACCCTGTTTTCAAGCAGGCAGGCGCTGGAACCAGGGCAAAGGGAGGGGGGGCCCCTTTCTGAGAATGAAAATGGAAGCCATACCCCAGCTGCACACCTGCCTCTAGGCCAAATTCTCTTAGACCAGTGGTCGGCAAACTGTGGCTGGCGAGCCACATGCGGCTCTTTGGCCCCTTGAGCGTGGCCCTTCCACAAAATACCACGGCCTGGGCGAGTCTATGTTGAAGAAGTGGCGTTAGAAGAAGCTTCAGTTTAAAAAATGTGGCTCTCCGAAGACATTTCAGTCGTTGTCCTGTGGATATTTGGCTCTGTTGTCTAATGAGTTTGCCGACCTCTGGGTTAGTAAATGCCAGACCCTCCGGAAATCCAGCGAGGCTTTTCCAAGGAGAGCAGTCTCAGACCTGCTGTGTTCATAACCTTTTCGTAGCTGGGTGTTCCCAGAGAGAGAAAGAGGCAGAGAAGAGGAAGCTGTCTGGAAACACGGAGGAGCAGGTCTTGGAAACCGAGAGTGCCCCTGGCCCTGTGGGAGCCAGGGAACCGAGACGGCTGCTCCTCACTGGGAAGTTTGAGGGCGCTGTCACTCACTTTCCCTGTAGACCAAGCATGTCAGACGCACAGCAGGCGGGCCGCACACGGGCGGCGAGTTTGACATGCTTGCTGTAGATCATAACCTCGCCCGTTTTGTCCGTCCACAGCTGAGCCTGTCCCCGCCTGGGAGCCGAGTGGCCAGAAACGATTCTCGCTGAAACTAGTGAGTGGGCCTGGGGGGTGCCTGGGCCAGGGAGGGAAGCGCTGAGGGAGGGTCTGGGGCTTTGGCAAGAGCATCCTGGGTCTCCCAGCCTTTCTGTGGGCTGGGGCAGGCAGCAGAGCCTGGGGCAGTGGGACCTGGGCCGGGCCTCAGGTTCCTCATCTCCCAGGGAGCTCAGAGGCCCTGCCTCTCACACGTCCCAGCTCTGCGATCTGAGCATGCGCCTCCCTCTTTGAAATGACTCTCGTCACCTGTAAGTCTGAGATCAGCACACACCGGTAACAGCACACACCTCAGGCGGCCCATCTGCCCACCACTGCTTGCCTCACAGCTATATATATATATTTTTAAATATATTTTATTGATTCTTTACAGAGAGGAAGGGAGAGGGATAGAGAGTCAGAAACATCGATGAAAGAGAAACATCGATCAGCTGCCTCCTGCACACCTCCTACTGGGGATGTGCCTGCAGCCAAGGTACATGCCCATGACCGGAATCGAACCCGGGACCTTTCAGTCTGCAGGCTGACGCTCTAGCCACTGAGCCAAACCAGTCAGGGCTTCACAGCTGTATTTATTGAGCACCAACTATAATATAAAACGGAAGTCTTCCTGGAGCCATACTGGCTAAGGCATGAGTGCTGGAATCGTGGGTGACTTTTATTTCTTCCGATTTTCTCACCCACCCTCACCCCCCTGGGACCCTGGGACAGCTGGGTTGGGTCTCCTTCCTGGCCCTAGATTAGGGGTGTCGAACTCAATCAGAGAAGGGGCCAAAATCTAAAATCCAGCCTAAATCGCGGGCCGAATGGTTTACTGAACAGTCATAAACTGTCATTGTGATGGAAATGCAGCGGAGTGCAGTGATGACAGCGCAGTGCGGGCCACATTGCAAGGCCTGGCGGGACGGATTTGGCCCGCGGGCCTTGTGTTTGACACATGTGCCCTAGATGGACAGAGGCCATGTGAGTGGTTTAGAGCGAGGGCTCCGGAGCCAGAGAAGTAACAGCGCCTGCGTGTTGAGAGCCTGTTCCGGGCCGACTCTGGGCTGAGCGTTTCCAAGCAAGCCTGTGGGGTAGTGACCTCGTTTCCCAGGGAATCCCACAGCTGTATCTCCAGCGCCCAGAGCAGTCCTCAGCACATGGTAGGTGCTTTGTAGAAAGAGTGAATGAATGACAGCTGGGATCTGAAACGACTTCTCTTTGACCCTCTGCTCTTATGAAGCCAGCTGTACTCGTATTTAATTCATTTATGTGGTTTTACTGCTGGGGGAAATGACCCAGTATTAACAATGGCCTGAGCAAAAATACTATTTTATTTCTCTTTCACATAGAAGCCTGGGACAGTGGTCCAGGGCTGATATGGTGGTTCCGTAACGGAGAGGTCCAATTTCCTTCTCTCTTGTTGCTCCAACATTCTCAGCCCATGACCTTCATCTGTGGGTTGACATGGCTGCTCCCGCCCCCACGGCCTGTGCACTCCAGCCAACAGGAGCAGAGGAGGCAGGGGGAGCCTGCCCCGCCCATTAAGGGCATAACCTGGGGGTTGCCCAATTCTCCTTGGCTCACATCCCCGATGGCCAGAACGTGTCACGTGGTCATTCTTCACTTCAAGGGAGGCTCAGGAATCCAGTTTCCAGCGGAAGGCCATCTGTTTAGTGAAAACTTGTAGGTCCCGTCGTAAAAGAAAGGAAAGGAGCCGAAACCGGCTTGGCTCAGTGGGTAGAGCGTCGGCCTGCGGACTGAAAGGTCCCAGGTTCGATTCTGGTCAAGGGCATGTACCTTGGTTGCGGGCACATCCCCAGTAGGGGGTGTGCAAGAGGCAGCTGATAGATGATTCTCTCTCATCAATGTTTTTAACTCTCTATCCCTCTCTTTTCCTCTCTGTAAAATACCAATAAAATATATATATATATATTTTTTTTTTTTTTAATTTTTTTAAAAGAAAGGAAAGGAGCCTGGGCACTGGGAGGTAACTCGAAGTCTCTGATACGGGGTCCGTGTGGCACCCTGAGGAATTTGGTTACGATCTGCAGGACTTGATGGGGAACCTGAGTTGTTGCTGGCATTACCCTGGGGCAGTGGTCGGCAAACTGCGCCTCATGCAGCTCTTTGGCCCCTTGAGTTTTTAGCAAAAGCCAGCTTAGGAGTACTCTAATTAAGTTAATAAGGTTCCTACCTATATAGTTTAAGTTTAAAAATTTGGCTCTCTAAAGAAATTTCAATCGTTGTACTGTTGATATTTGGCTCTGGTGACTAATGAGTTTGCTGACCACTGCCCTGGGTAATGCTTGGCCAGCAGTGATCTGGGGTCCCTTGTCTGAGGGATTCCAGTGTGACAGCCTCCTCCCCCTCCCCCCCACACTAGGATGCCAAGGATGGGCGCTTGTTCAATGAGCAGAACTTCTTCCAGCGGGCCGCCAAGATTTCGCAAGGTACTCTGCAGGGAGTGGTGGGCAGGGGGGCAGACGTGGAGGTACCAGCTTGGTCAGAGCACCTGGCTTCTCCCTGAAGGTGTGGGGAGGGTGGGGGTTAGACAGAAGGCCCTGTCACCCCTCAGTTTTCAGGCCTCACAGGGCCGACAGCACGGGCGGAGGCCAGCTCATACCAGCTCTTGAGAGCCAGTTGTTCAAATTTCAAAATGAGCTCAAGCCAGTTGTTAAACATGGCCATTATTTAAATTAATTACATCATAACAGTACAACAAGTTAGGCTAAGAAGAAGGGTAAGCCGGGACCGGTGTGGCTCAGTGGATAGAGCGTCAGCTTGGGGACTGAAGGGCCCCGGGTTCGATTCTGGTCAAGGGCATGTACCTTGGTTGCGGGCATATCCCCAGTAGGGGGTGTGCAAGAGGCAGCTGATCGATGACTCTCTCTCATTGATGTTTCGAACTCTCTATCTCTCTCCCTTCCACTCTGTACAAAAATCAATAAAATATATTAAAAAAAAGAAAAGGTACTACATTGTAGTAACTACAATATAAAAAAGAAGAAGAAGAAGAAGAAGAAGAAGGGTAATAAGTACTCAAAACTCATCACTTCATAATTATTCGTCTCTTTCTGTAATCTACACCCTTGAGATGGTTTATGTCCTTGTATCTGGACGGTGGGGACGATACCTTACCAGTGTGCTGCTGCAAATCCCTTCCCATCTCCACGTTCTGTGACGTCATGTCGGTAGCTTGAAATTGACCTTGGTGGGAATATTTACACCATAGAAATTGGCAAACACTACAAACCAGGGCGCTTTCTCCCTGGACAGCCAGCTGTTAAACTGTTACCAGCATCCCGCTGCCTCTGTACCATCCCATGGAGATCCCGGAAGACGGGCTAACGTCTAGCGGCACCATGACCTGTTTAGTCATTTCCCGATCTTATGAGCTATACGTGTGAATTCAGTTCTCCCGTTCTTATCCCGCCCACTCACTCCAGATTTGTATATTCTTTCCCCATGTTTAGCCCTTGTCACCTGCAGGCATAGATGAGATTTCAGGGGTCACCAGGCCCACCCTGTGAGCACCCCCACTGTCACCCACCCATAGAGGTGGTGTTTCCGACCAGGAGACCCAGGGTCTGGCCTGAGCACAGATTCTTTGCTTCTGGCCTGAGAATGGGCTCTTGTCCCCAAGGGCCTGGGCCCAGGTGGGCTCTAAGCTCTCAGGTCCCTGCTTCCCACAGTGAACAAGTGGAAGAAGATGTCCTCAACCCCCTTACTGGCCATCCCCACCTGTTTTGGTTTCGGCGTTCACGAGGACAAGTACAGGTGAGTCGCTTAACTCGCTACCCCCCCACTGGCCCTTTCCTTTCTCTCCCTGTCATGCGCTGGGACGTGGCTGGGGCTAGTTGCTTCCTTCCTTTCTCCTGCTTTGAGCCAGGCGATCCCCACCCATCAGAACCCTTGATCTTGCCTGGGACCAGCTGGCCACCCAGCACAGTCCCCCCCCCCCCCCCTCAGTGTCCTTTGTTCTGCTTGCTCCCCTGTCATCTCTCCACCTGGGGTGCTCGTGTCTTCCAGGTTCTTGGTGCTCCCCCTGCTGGGGAGGAGCCTGCAGTTAACCCTGGATGACAACCCGAAGCACATAATGTCCATGCAGTCCGTGTTCCAGATGGCCTGCCGGCTGGTATGTATCCAGGGGTGGCCCCCGGTGCTGGTAGGTCAGGCTGTTCCTTGGCACGTTCCACCCGGCCGCCCTCTGCTGGACCCTGAGGACAAGCACCCCCAGGCCGTTAGCACCAGCGGAACAAGCATCACCCCCAGGGGCGTTCAGGGGCTGTGGCCCTGGAGGAAGGACCCCAGCCTCACTTTGAGGCTATCGGATGGAGGTTTGCGCTCCTGGATGGAGGTCCTTTCTAAACCAAGAGCGGGAAATAGCAAGGAGCCGCGGAGAGAGGGAGCGGACGTGCATGAGGCTATTCCAGGCCGTGGGTACAGCTTAGGCAGAGGCCTGTGTGGGCGAGAACATACAGCATTCATTCATTCATTCCTTGCTTCATCCGTCCTTTCCTTGAATATTTATAAGGTCCCTACGGGGTATCAGACACTGTCCCAGGGGCTGGGAGCACAGCAGAGAGGAGCACAGACATGGTTCTTAGGTCTGGTCGGAGAGGATTGTATTAAACAGTTAAACAAATTGTGAAAAGGTCTCTGGATAGAAATGTCCCCCTGCTGCTGAAACCGGTTTGGCTCAGTGGTAGAGTCGGTCTGCGGACTGAAGGGTCCCAGGTTCGATTCCAGTCAGGGGCATGTACATTGGTTGCGGGCACATCCCCGGTAGGGGGTGTGCAAGAGGCAGTTGGTCGATGTTCCTCTCTCATTGACGTTTCTATCTCTATCTCTCTTCCTTCCTCTCTGTAAAAAATCAATAAAATATATTTTTAAAAGTCCCCCTGCTGTGATGGCGAGTAAGAGCACCCAATTTAAATCGGGGGAGGGATGAGAGTGGCAAGGGAGGAACATACTATTAATAGGTGAGTCCCAGAGGTCTTTATGCTCAGTCTGCAGTGACATGGGGAGGGGGAGGTTGGTGTGGAGAGGTCAGCAGTGACCGGATCACGCAGGGCTTTGCATTACCAAGCTGAGGAGCTAGGACTCTATCCTGAGGGCACTGGGGAGCCATGGGGGGAGTGGGAGCAAGGGAGGGGCAGGGTCAGCTCTGGAGGCAGAAGGACCCCGTGGGCCTTGTGGGGAGGGACTGGAGGGGTGCAGAGGCCAAATGAGACAGGACGAGGCCTAAGGAGAGGGGCCAGGCTATGGGATAGAGAGTTTGTAGGACAGACAGAACTTGGTGGACAGTTAAGCCTTGGAGTAAAGGGGGATTGGGATGTAACTAACACCGAGGCAGTTCACTGAGCCTAGAACTCAGTGGAGACGTTGGAGTTAGAGATAAGAATATAAATTGCTTAACTAAACGTATTTCTGCTCTCTAGGAGAAATGAGAACTCTTTGATATAAATGGGCATTGGGTGTGTGTGTGTGTGTGTGTGGGTGTGTGTGGGTGTGTGTGTGTTACACACAATAAGTAACCAACTTCTCTCTCTCCTGAGTTTGCAGTCAACTAAGAAATAGATACAAGAGATACATAGGAAACCAAGTGTTAGCATTAATGCTGAAATTTTAAAAAATATATATTTTATTGATTTTTTACAGAGAGGAGGAGACAGGGACAGAGAGTTAGAAACATGGATGAGAGAGAATCATCTATCAGCTGCCTCTTGCACACCCCTCACTGGAGGGATGTGCCCACAACTAAAGTACATGCCCTTGTCCGGAATCGAACCCGGGACCTTTCAGTCCGCAAGCAGACGCTCTATCCACTGAGCCAAACCGGTTTCAGCTTAATGTTGAAATTTTTGAAGCCTAATTAGAAGACCTGCTTAGGTGTGCTGTCAGAGTGGACTTCCTAATGCTTCCCCCAGAATCAGCCAGCTTAAACCTGCCCACAGTCCCAGCAGAAGCAGGCCATACGGCGGCAGGTCTCAGAGGGGATTCATGCACCGGGCTTGGCATCAGAGCCTCTTTGTGTTAGTCGTGCTACTCACGGAGATCACTTTGTTCTTCCTCCCCCAGCTGGATGCCCTGGAGTTCCTCCATGAGAACGAGTATGTTCATGGAAATGTGACAGCCAGGAATATCTTTGTGAATCCCCTGGACCGGAGCCAGGTAATAGCCAGGTCCTCCCCACCCCGGGGCCCCTCTGGACTCAAGATCTCAGCCGTCTCAAAACTTCCATTTATTTTACAATGCTCATGGCAGACAAAGAATTGCTACCCATCATATATAAAGAGCTTACCTGAATAAATAAGAAGAGATGAGCAACTCAGTAAAAAAGTGAATAATGAATAGGAAAAGCAGTTCATAGAAAAAGAAATCCACAATTTAGTTAAATGTATTTTTTAAATGTTCTAACCTCCCTAAAAAGCATAGAAATGGAAATTAGAACATACTACTTTTTACCCTAGGGTAGACAAAAAATTAAAAAATGATAATATCCATGGTGATAAAAGGATAGAAAGAAATAATTCTTTATATTTTGTTGGAAGTATGAATTGGGCTACCTCTTTGGAAGGTAATTTGGATATAGTAGTCAACATTTTAAATGCATATGTTTTCCTCTGCTGATTCCCTCACTCAGAGGCACCTGGCTGAGCCAGCCTCGGGCTGCCTCACCTGGGAAAAGCACAGCAGGGATGAGTGGAAAGAATATACCTGTAGATATGTACGTACCACAGTGCTGTACTTTTGTATGTAGCCATCATGTAAATAAATGTATGGATTTTATAATATACATATTATATATAAGTCCATAAAGGCATATTTTTTTAGAAAAACAGCACACCGCCCTATCCGGTTTGGCTCAGTGGATAGAGCGTCGGCCTGCAGACTGAAGGGTCCCAGATTCGATTCCGGTCAAGGGCATGTACAGATTACACCCACGATTGAGATGTCTAATTCCAGAGTCCAACCTCCAAACTGTATGGCTTTTCTCCCCACGCCCACACAGGTGACCCTGGCAGGTTACGGCTTCGCCTACCGCTACTCCCCCGGCGGCAAGCACGTGCCCTACAAGGAAGGCAGCAGGAGGCCTCACGAGGGGGACCTGGAGTTCATTAGCATGGACCTGCACAAGGGATGCGGTAAGAGGCCAGAGAGAGGGTTTAGGACTGGAGACACGCTTTTCATACGAGAGCAGCTCTGGGTTTTCACAGCCACAGACAGCAGATGACCAGAGACAGGGTCACCTGAGGGAGCCATGACAGGGATTCAGAATTAAGAACGGGTGGGGTCATTGGGGGGTAGGGGACATCTGTAATACTTTCAACAATAAAGATTTTTTTAAAAAAAGGAAAGAATGGTGTCCCCGGGCATTAGAAAGGTGTGGGTAGTGGTTCAGCACCAAGGACAGAGGGCTGCTGGGCACCAGGAAGCCTGGCAGGTCAGGTCCCGAGGTTCCGATTCAGGATCTGGTGTGGACTTGGAACACGAGAGTTGCTGCAGACTCACACAGGGGAGCTGTTGAGGGAGCAGTTGGCTATCCGTGTCCAAAACGCCGGGCTGAACTCCAGACAGAGACTTGGGTGTGGACAGGATCTCAGGAGTTATCAGCCGGAGCCCTGGGAGAGGGGTGAGATTATCCACGGGCAGTGTGCAGGGGGAGCAGAGAGCCCAGGCAGATTCCGTGAGGAGGTCTTAGCCCCTCTTTCCCAGACCCCATGATACCATGGCCATCCGTGAGCCAGCCTGCGTCCTCCCCACAGACTGGGCTCTGAGCTCACCCAGGGAAAGTCTGGCACGTCAGCTCTGTGTTTGTTGAGTGCTTACACAAGTTGTCTAAATCGTGACAGTTAGGTTGCGTAAGAAAAATAAAACCCAAGGGTCTCTGCTCCCCTGCTGAGGCTGTCTTCAGTGTTTTCCCTCCTGAGCTCTCTCATGCCCTGTTCTGTGTCCTCTGTAACCCAGGTAATCCCACTCTACAACCATCTCCCCACTAGACCGAAGGGCTGGGACCCAACCAAACTCTCTAGAATTTGAGAAATTGCATGGGCTGGCACACAGGGCTCTGTGGGCTCATCGAACACATGAGTGCACGAATGAAAGAGAGTAGATGGGGTGTGAGCTAGTGAGTGCAGGATGAAGGGATGGTGAGAGCGGGAATGAGAGTAACAGAGGCTCGTGAGCGTGAGTAGGCGGACAAAGAATGGTACTGGAAGCCAATTCCAGCATGTCATAATTACAAGAGTTTTATCAAAAGGTTGATGAAACTTGGGGGCTCAACAAGGGCTGAGTCACATATGTAATTACCTATTGGATCGGCTGGAAAGGCACTTTCCCCAAACCTGAATAGGATGATTGCTTGCTGCCTGACAGCTCAGGGCATCTTAATCTATATGTTATTGCCTCCTTCGGTGTAGGCTATTCCCCAATATGACAGTGTTTCTGTACCCTACCCTTGGAAGTATATTATCTTCACCTTGCCTTAGGACAAATTGTGTTAATAAAAAGCAAGGGGTCCAGGGACAAGGGAAGTCTTTAGCTCCTTTAGCTGAAGCTCCTCTGACCCCTAATGCCTTTCAAAACTATCTTTCAGGCAAAATTGGTTTGGCTCAGGGGATAGAGCATTGGCCTGTGGACTGAAGGGTCCCAGGTTAAATTCCGGTCAAGGGCATGTACCTTGGTTGCAGGCACATCCCCGGGGGGGGGGGGGGGGGGGGGCCGTGTAGGAGACAGCTGATCGATGTTTCTAGTTCTATCCCTCTCTCTTCCTCTTGGTAAAAAAATCAGTAAAATACATTTTAAAAAACAACTATCTTTCGCCTTTGGACTCCTACTTCATCTACACACAGCCTTTCTCCAGATTGCTGAACTTCTTAATGCTGGGGAAGAGAACGCTGGCAAACGGATGGGCAGACAGAGCCCATATGTTTGGGTGTTGGGTGTGAGTGCATGGCTGAGTCAGTGAAAGGGAGAAAGGAAGCGGGTGGAGTGGAGCCTCCAGCCTGAGCTGCCTCCTCTTTTCCTCCCTCCCCAGGACCCTCCCGCCGCAGCGACCTCCAGTCCCTGGGCTACTGTTTGCTGAAGTGGCTCTACGGAAACCTGCCGTGGACAAAATACCTTCCCAACACCGAGGATGTCATGAAGCTGAAACAGAAGTGAGTCTGGGGTCAGCAGAGCCCAGCACGGGCCCAGCACCCATGCAGCTGGGGCAGAAGCTCCGAACCCAACAGGGAGCAGATTAGGGAGGCGCTGTCCAGCAGAGCTAAGGCCTCTGCCGTTTTCATTTCTCAGGCGTGCTCTGCCATCTGTTCCAGCAGACAGAGCGTGGGCCAGACTCCGGCCACACACTGCAAGCCTCAGTGTCCTCAGTGAGATGGGATCCTATTGGCACCCACTGCGGGGGCTGTGGAAGGGTTCAGGGGAGTCGGGCACACAGCACTCAGCAGACAGCCTGGCCTGTAGAAAATGCTCACCATGCCCTGGACACCATGACTCATTCCTTCCTTCACGGGATGTGGGCACCCTGAGCAGTTAGGTCTGGGCCCTGCCTCAGCCATCAGACCACACCAGCCACCCGTGTTCATTTTTTTAGATTTATCTTTATTGTGGAAAGTATTGCAGATGGACCCTTTTTCCCCCCACTGACTTCTGCCCCACTCCCACTCCCTCCCCAAGCCTCTACTGCACTATTGTCTGTTCACGGGTTATACATATACTAGAGGCCCGGTGCATGAATTTGTGCACTGGTAGGATCTGGCTGGCCCTGCCCAATTGGGGGGGAGCACCAGGAGCAGGCCAGGCCAGGGGGAAGGGCTACAGGCGGTTGGCCAGCTGGCCCCACCCCCTGGTCGAACTCCTGGTCCAGAGGAAAATTTGCATATTAGAGTTTTATTATATAGGATGCATATAAATTCTTTGGTTAATCTCTTCATGCCCCCTCCCTCCCTCTGAAGTACATACTTTGATGTCTCTGGATCTATCTTGTCTGTCTTCACACTTCCCTTCCTCATCTCTGCACACAAAACCCTTCCTCTCTGTAAAAAATCAAGGGATCCTGGGACAAGGGAAGTCTTTAGCTCCAAACAGATCTGCTAGTTCCGGGGTTTTTTTAGACATTCAGTACCAAGGACAGTGCCCCATTTGGCTGCAAAGGGAAGTGCTGGGGTATGAGGTTCAGCACCAAAGACAGAGGCACCTGTTTGCAGAGGGAAGTTGGAAAGTGCTGCGTGTTCAGCACCACGGACAGGCCATCTGGGCTCAGGGAAGTGAGCAAAGGAGGCTTGGTCCTCAGCACCAAGGACAGTGAACAGCTGGGCACAAGGAGGTGCTGAGGGCACAGGGGCTGGGACTCAGAATGTGGAATAGACTTGGGGGCTGAGTCGCCCAGAAGGGGGCATCCAGGAGACGTTGGCTAACGATGTCTGAGGCGCAGAAATGAGGTCTAAACGGAGACTCAGACCTCAGGTATCTCGGCAATTGTCAGCAGAAGGCCTGGGTCATGCTGAGTGGGAAGAGGGAAAACTCTCCAGTGAGCACCACCGAGTCCGTTGTGCTTCTTAGTTTTCAGCGTGCTGTGCCACGGGTTCCTCTTGAGTCTTGTTTTATTTGCCCCTTTTATGTCCCCCATCCTCCTCCTCTCAACCGTGGACACCCTCTCACACAGGCTTCACACATGTTCCACTGATAACATTCGCTTAAATGTATGTGTATCCTTAAACTTGCATGATGACCGTGGTACTGTGTGTGTTTGACTCGGATAAATGGTATTCTCTGAATCTCGTCTGATTCTGGCTTTTTTCACGCAGCACTGTGTCCTTCAACTTTAATCTCAATGTGACATGTGCACCGAGTTTATTGCCAGTTTGTATTGCCGTGTCTGTGTCCTTGAACAATGTCTGACCTGGGACCTTTTCGTTTGCAGGCCGACGCTCTATCCACTGAGCCAAACCGGCTTCGGCCCTAGTCACCCTTTTAATGTTGATGGTTTCAGTATGAACAGCAGTTCATTTTAGAGCACCTGGTCTCAACCACAGCGACAAAGGGAGGGCAGGCAAGAAACGATGCTCCTGGGAGAGATGTGGGCGCTGACATAGCTGTCCTTCTGGACCCCGCAGTGACCAAAAGAACCACGAGGGGGCGATGTTGGCACGTGCAGGATTCCTGGAACCCTGCCTTCTCTTACTGGTGTGTGTGGCCTTTTCCCATTCGTTCAACAAACATTGGTTCCATTGCTTGTACATCCCAGTTCTTTTTTTTTCTTTTTTTTTTTTTTTAAAATATATTTTATTGATTTTGTACAGAGAGGAAGGGAAAGAGATAGAGAGTTAGAAACACTGATGAGAGAGAGTCATCGATCAGCCGCCTCTTGCACACCCCCTACTGGGGATATGCCCGCAACCAAGGCACATGCCCTTGACCGGAATCGAACCCGGGACCCTTCAGTCCCCAAGCCGACGCTCTATCCATTGAGCCAAACCGGTCTCGGCCCAGTTCTTGACAGAATGAATGACTAAAGGACCCAGAAGGGACAGGGTGGTGCCCCAAGACTCCAGTGCGTGAAGCCCCTGCTAGGAAAGCACAGATAGGACTCAGGATCGGTCCCTGCTCTTGAGGCTGTGAACTGGGCAGGAAAGCCCCGCGGACACTGACAGCGACAGGCTGTTGTGGGAGGAGTGCTCTTTCGGGCCGTCACTCACTGTCTCATTCATTCCTTCATCACACACATCCTGCCGCTGCGGGAGAAGGGGCCCAGACCCAGCCCTTCCTGTACACGCGCCCTGCCAGTTGCTGTAGGGCATCCTTGGACCCGTGCAGAGGGTGCCCGGACATTCAGGAGGGATTGGCCTCCTCTGCTTAGGTGGGGGAAGAGGGGGCTAAAGCTTCCCCGAGACCAGCCCTTGAGCTGTGTCCCGAAGGGGGAGCAGCCACTGAATGGGGTCAAGGTGGGCAAAGGCCGTCCAGGGCAGAGGGAGCATTTTGTGCAGAAACTAGAAGATGCAGGTGGATGTTTGAGCTTTTTGGGGGACTAGGAAAAGTTTGGGGGCACCTGTAATACTGTCAACAATAAGTAAGTTATTAATATGTGTGTGTTTATATACACATACTGAGTGGCCAGATTATTATGATCTCTGAAGACATAATAATCTGGCCCACTCAGTGTATATCCTATATAATAAAAGGCTAATATGAAAATTGTCCCCTTGACCAGGAGTTTGACCAGCAGGCAGGCTTGCCAACCGCCCATGTCCCCTCCCCCTGGCCAGGCTGGCCAGACCCCACCCATGCATGAATTCATGCACTGGGCCTCTAAATACATACACACACACACACACACACTGACACACTGAATGGCCAGATTATTATGCATTCATAATAATCTGGCCACTCAGTATGTGTGTGTCACACATACACACGTGTATATGGCTAGAGCATGAGATGGAGGGAGGCAGGCAGAGAGACAAGGCCAGAGGAGCGGGCATGCGTGCCAGGGGCTTTCCTGGGGAGTCCAGGAGGGCTGTGGGCATGGAGGGGCGGGAGCGGCCCTGGGTGTAGAAAGACTGGGGCCTGCACAGGAGGCTGGGGAGAAGGCTGAGGTTGAATGAACAGCAGTTCATTCTAGAACACCTGGTCTCAACCACAGCGACAAAGGGAGGGCAGGCAAGAAAAGATGCTCCTGGGAGAGATGTGGGCGCTGACATAGCTGTCCTTCTGGACCCCGCAGTGACCAAAAGAACCACGAGGGGGCGATGTTGGGCCGTCACTCACTGTCTCACATCCTCAGGGAGAGGATGAGGCGTGAGCTGGGCCCAGAGCCGTGCACAGAGGGGCTTGGGGCCTTCTGGGCTGTGAGGGAAGGAAGCGCAGCGCCCAGTGGCCGGTGCACACCGGGCAGCCAGCCAGGGGTCCGGGCCCGTGAAGGTACAGTGCCCGGAGCACAGGACGTGGGAGAGTTTCCGTTTTTCCCGAGTGGTGGAGGGGTGGGGGTGGGGGGTGTTTATATATGTGCATGTGCACAAATGTTTGTGTGTAATAGTCTTCGTTACTCACAGATTTCATATTTGTGAATTCGCATGTCCTCTAAAATGTGTTTGCAACTCCAAAATCAAACCTTGCAGTGTTTTCGTGGTCCTTCTCAGACACACGCTGTGTGGAGGGAAAATATTTTTAAAATACATTTTCAATGATTTTTAGAGAGAGTGGAAGGGAGAGGGAGAGAGAATCAATGTGAGAGAGAAACCACTTGGTTGCCTCCTGCATGCGCCCCCAACCAAGGATCAAACCCACAACCTGGGTATGTGCCCTGGCGAGGAGCCAGCCGGCAGCCTTTTGGTTTCCGGGGCAATGCCCAACCAGCCGCGCCGCACCGGCTGGGGCTCAGCGTGCAAGACACGGGGAGTCGCCTGCCAGCCGTGCTCCCTGCTGAGGTGGAAGGCAGCGCCGCTCCGCCCTCGGGCTCAGCGCTCACGCATGTGCTCAGTGCAGCCCCGTCCTACATGAGGCTTGTTTGATGCCTCATGTCCCACCCTCCGTGCTCCCTGTTGGTGATTTCTCTGTCCAGAGAGGCCCCACGCGTGGTGCTGAAGCGCTGTCTCGTGTTCCTCAGCGCAAGGAGGCACAGAGAAAGCACGTGTGTGAGTTAGATGAGCTTCCTGCAGGCACAGTGAGCTCCCTGTGCGTCAGTCCACGTGATAGTGAGCGAGGTGGGTCTACACCCCGAAAACAAGGGGGTGCAGCATCCATCAGTGGATAAGGATGTGACCAGAGGCTCGTCAGAACCTAATGCTGTGTTTCCCCTCGAAGCCGATTCAGAATGTGCTCACTCAGTGTTCGAGGCGACTCCGTGGGCCACAGCTACCGCGGATAACCAGAGTCGACTGTACGGCGATGGGGCGTTTTGTCTAAAAGGCTGCTCTTGCCAGGACCGGTTTGGCTCAGTGGATAGAGCGTCGGCCTGCGGACTGAAAGGTCCCGGGTTCGATTCCGGTCAAGGGCATGTACCTTGGTTGCGGGCACATCCCCAGTGGGGGGTGTGCAAGAGGCAGCTGGTCGATGTTTCTCTCTCATCGACGTTTCTAACTCTCCGTCCCTCTCAATTCCTCTCTATGTAAAATCAATAAAATATATTTTAAAAAATAAACAAATAAAATAAAAGGCTGCTCGGTGTTCTCCCTGCTAGGAGCATGCCAACACCTCCCTTTCCCCTCTTGTTCTTCTTCTTTAAAACATGTGTTTTTCTATTTATTTCAAAGAGAGGAAGGGAGGGGGAGAGAGGAATAGAAACATCAATGATGAGAGAGAATCGTGGATCAGCTGCCTCCTGCATGTCCCCTACTGGGGATCGAGACTGCAACCCGGACATGCGCCCTGACTGGGAATTGAACCATAACCTCCTGGTTCATGGGATGATGTCCAACCACTGAGCCACACTGACAGAGTACAAATATATAAAATAAAAGGCTGCTCTCACTTCCCCAAAAAAACCTTTGCATGTACCTCTGTCCCTCAGGTTCCTGAGCGCCCCGGTGGCCCTCGTGGGACACTGCTGTCACTGGATTCGGCCCTCAGGTATGTCCCAAAGGGGAGGATGGGGGGCGCTGTGGCAGGACTGGGGCCTTGGATCCAGGTGGAGTCGCACTCCTTTGTTGACTCCGAGTCTTTCAAATTGCATGTGTCTATATGCTCATTGTAGAAAAACAAAAATCTTTCCCCAAAATTCGCAAGTGTGTTTGAATAATAGCCACACACACAGCTACATGATTTTATTTCAGAGAGGGAGAGAGAGAGGGAAAGATAGAAACATAAATGATGAGAGAGAATCACTGATTGGCTGCCTCCTGCAATCCCCCTACTGGAGATCGAGCCTGCAACCCGGGCATGTGCCCTTGGCTGGAATCAAACCCAGGACCCTTCAGTCCAAAGATCAGTGCTCGCCGAAACCGGTTTGGCTCAGTGGATAGCGTCGGCCTGCGGATTGAAGGGTCCCGGGTTTGATTCCGGTCAAGGGCATGTACCTTGGTTGCGGGCACATCCCCAGTAAGGGGTGTACAAAAGGCAGCTGGTCAATGATTCTCTCTCATCGATGTTTCTAACTCTATCTCTCTCTCTTCCTCTCTGTAAAAAAATCAAAAAAAATATTAAAAAACAAATAAATACAAACAAAGATCAGTGCTCTATCCACTGAACAAAACTGGCTAGGGCAAGTCAGCATTTTTTATTTATTTATTTATTTATTTTAGGTGTTTTTTTTTATTTCTTTTATATAAATCTTTATTGTTCATATTATTACAAATGTTTCTCATTTTTTCCCCCCTCCATTGCTCCCCTCCTCCAGGTTCCCACCCCACCCTCTGCCCTTTCCCCACCCCCCATTGTCCTCATCCATAGGTGCACAGTTTATGTTCAGTCTCTTCCCACACCTCCCTCTCCCCTTTTCCCTGAGAATCGTCAGACCACTGCCCTTCCATACCTCTGATTCTATTAAGTCAGCATTTTTTTAAAATATGTTTTTATTGCTTTTAGAGAGAGGAAGGGGGGGAGAGAGAGAAACATTGATGTAAGAAAGACACATCAAATGGTTGCCTCCTGACCAAGGCCAGGGCTGGAACCTGCTGCCCAAGGTATGTGCCCTTGACCAGGAATTGAACCCACAATTGGCTCAGTGGATAGAGCATCGGCCTGCAGACTGAGGGGTCCCAGGTTCGATTCCTGTCAAGGGCATGTACCTTGGTTGCGGGCACATCCCCAGTAGGGGGCATGCAGGAGGCAGCTGATCGATGTTTCTCTCTCATCAATGTTTCTAGCTCTCTATCCCTCTCCCTTCCTCTCTGTAAAAAATCAATAAAATATATTTTTCTAAAAAGAGGACTGCGAACCTCACCTGAAACTCAAGCTGCGGCGTCCCTAGGAGGAGCCTGGGCGCAGCCACGCCCCTTCGTTGGCGGGTCTGTCGCCTGTGTCTGCTTTTGTGCGAGTGAGCGCAGCCGAGCTGAGTCCTGGCAGACCCAGACCCCGGGTGCGCAGGGCCAAAAGCGTTTGCTGTCCGGACGTGACGTGACGCAGACGTTCGCTGTTACAGACGCGCTAACGCCGGCAGGCGGCATGGCCCCGGTCGCTGAGGTTCGCGTGGAGACAGTGTGGGCCGGCAGGGGTAGGGCTCAGGTGGAACAGGCTGGCTGTGAGTTGACAGTGTGGAGACTGGGTGATAGGATCGAGGTGTTCACGATATTGTTTTCCTGTTGCACACGTTGGACGTTTTAAAAAAAAAATGGCAGGGGTGAGGGTGCCAGGGTCCAAGTGCCTGTGGCAGTGCCAGACACAGAGGCAGCAGCCCTGCGTGGGGTGGAGGTGCGGATGGGGAGGAACCTCTGGGCACAGCTCCCCGTCCCGGTCGGCCCCTCTCACCTCTCCCTGGCGGTGTCTTGCCCACAGAGTCGCTGCAGGAATACCTGAAGGTGGTGCTGGCCCTCAAGTACGAGGAGAAGCCGCCCTACGCCTTGCTGCGAAGCAACCTGCAGGTCCTGCTCCAGGATCTGCACGTGTCGGCCTATGACCCCATCGACCTCCGGGTGATGCCATAGGTGGGTTCCGGCGGGAAGAGCCTGTGAGTCTTCACCCCTACCCCACCCCCACCCCAGCCCCGAGTCCCAGGGCCAACTTCCCAGTCACGTGCTGCGTTTCTCCACAAGATGCTTGAACTTTCCAAACCCTGCCCCCCCTCCCCAATCACAAGTAACGAAACCCCACCCTTTAGAAAGAGGGGGGCTGATCGGCTCCTGTAACTAGAAAATTCCAAGGGAAAGCGTTAAGCGCACTGGATCAGAGCCTAGAAAGTAGCATTGAGATCGTATTTGCCTCTGTCTCTCTGTCCATCCTCTTTCCTCCCTCCGTCCCCCTGTGGTCCCTACTTCCTTTGGGTCGGCTCCCTTGTCCCCCACACAGAACCTCGCTGGCTCTGTGCACTGCTCTGTGCACCCCTCAGCTTGTCTCGCAGCCCCTCCTGCAAGCGGGAATGTCCATGCTTGCTGTGCAGACGCAGGGTGCTGTCCATAGCCCGGGCCGCCTCTGCTCGGCCTCCTGGGGTTTTGTTACCATGTGCACATCCTGGCGAGCACCTGTGTCCGTGACGATTGCATCGCCCTGTCTGTACCCGTCTGCCCCCCATTTGTGCGTGTGACAGTGTCCGGGAACTTGGGGGAGGTCAAAGCTGAGCCAGACTCGCTGGACAGTTTGGCCAGGCTGCATGGGCGGCCTGTGGAGGGGCCGCCCGGGTCCTCTCCCCTCGGGGCTGACCATGCCTCCACACAGGCTCTCCATCGGAGTGAGGGGCCGTTCTAAAAAAAATACATATTTATAGATTTTAGAGAGAAAGGGAGAGGGTGAGATAGGGACATCCATGATGAGAGAGAATCATTGATCGGCTGCCTCCTGCACGCCCCTTACTGTGGATGGAGCCCACAGCCTGGGCCTGTGCCCTGCCTGGAACCGATCCAGTGACCTCCTGGTTCATAGGTCAGCTCCCAACCACTGAGCCACGCTGTCCAGGCTCTGCAGACATTCTTAGTTGTCACCACTGGGGAGAGGGTGCTCCTGGCATCTGGTGGGTGGAAGCTGGAAGTAATGGATGCGCCTCCTCCCATTTCCGCTGGAATGAGCTATAACCAGGAGCATAACAACTCTCTGCTTATGGCGGCTCCTCGCCTTGGCCTGCGTGCCTGACACCCCCTCCTCCGGGCCACTCCGCCAGCCACACCGGCCTCCCCTCAGATTCTAGCCGAGGCGGAGCTTGATCCCACCCCGCGGCCTCTACGCCAGCTAGCGTTGCCATGGTCTGGAATGCTTTTCCCCTTCAGTTTTTCTCAGATCCTGCCCCCTCCCATATCCCCCGTTTGCCCCTCCTTGAGGTTCCTCACCTCCTCTCCGATCACATGGCCTGTTTTCTGCGCAGCCCCCGCCCCTCCGGAGGGAAGTGTCTGATCTGTAGTGTCCCCGCCCCCTGCTCCCAGCTGTGAGCCCCGGAGCGCCTCCCCAGGCCCAGGCGGCCCTGAGTGCAGGAGACACTCACTGCCGTTCCCATTGTCTTCCAGGACTTTCTACGCCCAGTGTGAAATAGGGGGGGGGAAAATGGGAAGAAGAAATGTGAAATCCAGGCCTGCTGTAGATAAGCTTCTAGAAAGACCCCTCGGACGTGCATTCCCACTGCTTCTGTAGGTGACGCTGCTGTCCAGCCAGGTTGGCGGGGAACACGGGAACTCGCAGTTAGGCTCCAGGTAACGTGAACGCCTCCTCCGCCGTCCCTTCCTCACAGCCGCTGGGGCGGTGAACGGAGAAGATGCTCAGCTAGGGGACCGGTCCCTCAGTGGGACCCTCCTACCATTAGAACCTCGTGCTTTGGTAATAAATTGTTTCACGGGAGCTTGGAGAGTCGAGTGTCTGCAAACGATGTTCCTTTTGGGAAAGGTTCACTCCCTTTTTCTCTCCATTCACCCATCCCTTCAACCTTTCATCCACATCTACCCTTTCATTCATCTGTCCAAACTTCATGGAGCCACCCATCCATCCATCCTTCCTTCCTTCCGTCAATCCATGTACAGATGCTTCTCAACTTACGATGGAACCACATCCCAGTAAATCCATTGTAAGTGGAAAATATTGTAAGTTGAAAATGCACTAATGGCCCTGGCTGGTTTGGCTCAGTGAATAGAGCGTTGGCCTTTGCACTGAAAGGTCCCGGGTTCGATTCCAGTCAAGGGCATGTACCTTGGTTACAGGCACATCCTCAGTAGGAGGTGTGCAGGAGGCAGCTGATCAATGTTTCTCTCTCATCAATGTTTCTGACTCTATCCCTCTCTCTTCCTCTCTGTAAAAAATCAATAAAATATATTTTTAAAAAGAAAGAAAGAGAAAGAAAGAAAATGCACTAATGGCCCTGGCCAGGTGGTTCAGTTGGTTAGAGTGTCATCCTGACACGCCAAGGTTCGGTTTTAATCCCTGGTCTGAGCACATACAGCAATCGACCAATGAATGCATAAATAAGTGGAACAACAAATCTCACTCTCTAAAATCAACCAATAAGAATATTTTTAAATGTACTTAATGGATACCTTCCATAAAAATTAACTCAAATGCAAAACTGTAAAACTTCTAGAAGAAAAGATAGAAGAAAAACCTATTTGACTTTGGGTTTGGTAAAAAGAGAGAAGCCCAGCCTGTGTGGCTCAGTGGTTGAGCGTCAACCCATGAACCAAGAGGTCACGGTTTGATTCCAGTCAGGACACATCCCTCGGTTGCTGGCTTGATTCCCAGTGTGGGGCATGCAGGAGGCAGCCAATCAGTGATTCTCATCATTGACGTTTCTCTCTCTCTCTTCCTCTCCCTTCCTCTCTGAAATCAATAAAAACATATTAGAGAGAGAAAGAGGTTCCGTAGTCCTGACGCAGGCAAAGCAAATTGTGCATGAAAGATGCAATCACCACACACGGAATCTGAAGAGCAGCTTTCCGCACAGTTGTTACCTTCATGCCAGTGCCTGTGCACTGAGTTGGTGCATCGTGCCCATGTTGAGCATGTTTTCTCACTAGCGGAAACCAGGGGGGAAACGAAGTGGACAGTCAGTGGGAAAGAGAACAAGATCAGTCGGATGTGAGCACTGTGGAAACGAATTGCCAAGTCAATGGAACACAGGCTCTGACGGCAAGGAATCTTGTAAGCAAATTCTGCAAAAAGAAACCATTACGGAGAACCAAAGCCAAAGGGACATGTAATGAAAGGAAGAGTGTGCAGTGAGATGACCTACCTACCATTCCGTTCAGACAACCCTCGAAGGAGTTCCTGTGGTGAAATAGCCAACCTGGGCTTCCAGGAGGCCGGCTCAGAGAGGCCGGGGTGCGGAGGCGGCTCAGAGAGGCCGGGGTGCAGAGGCGGCTCGGAGAGGCCGGGGTGCAGAGGCGGCTCGGAGAGGCCGGGGTGCGGAGGCGGCTCGGAGAGGCCGGGGTGCAGAGGCGGCTAAGAGAGGCCGGGGTGCAGAGGCGGCTCGGAGAGGCCGGGGTGCGGAGGCGGCTCGGAGAGGCCGGGGTGCAGAGGCCGCTCGGAGAGGCCGGAGTGCAGAGGCGGAGAGGCCGGGGTGCAGAGGCTGCTCGGAGAGGCCGGGGTGCAGAGGCTGCTCGGAGAGGCCGGGGTGCAGAGGCTGCTCGGAGAGGCCGGGGTGCGGAGGCGGCTGAGAGAGGCCGGGGTGCGGAGGCGGCTCGGAGAGGCCGGGGTGCAGAGGCTGCTCGGAGAGGCCGGGGTGCAGAGGCGGTGCCCCAGGGACAATCCCTGGGAGGGGAGGGGAGAATGGAGCTGCAGCGCAGCCCAATGCCAGCCTCATCCGGGCCTTCATGGCGCCCTGGAGCTGGAACAACCCCGTGGAGTGGTCCAGCCCTTATTCCCCCGGGGCTGGCTGGCTTCCCTGGGGAGAGGTGTGGCCTCGGTGTGGTGCTCTGCGCATGCGCTCAGGCCTTCCTGGCGCTTTACCTAATTATTGCCTCAACGCTTAACGCCCCACAACAAACACTCAAGTTAGGTGTTTTTAAAAATACATAATTTCATTGATTTCAGTGAGCAAGGGAGAGAGAAACATCAATGATGACGATCGTTGATCGGCTGCCTCCTGCAAACCCCCCACTGGGGATGAGCTCACAACCGATGCATGTGCCCTGACTGAGAACAGTGACCACCTGGTTCATTGGTGGACGCTCAACCACTGAGCCACACCGGCCAGGGTCCAGCTAGGGTTACTGTGTGTGTGTGTGTGACAGAGGGTGACTGGGAAGTAGAGTGATTTGCTCAGACTCCTGCTCGTAGTTGGAGACGGGCTGGAATTTGAGGCCACTTCTGCCCATCACGGCACCAGTGGGACATGTCTGTCGTCAGCTAATTCTTGGGCTTGTCCCTGATGTCTCCCCTCCCCTCCCAGAGAGCCCTGGGCCCTCCAGCCAGAGGCCGGAGCTGGGGGCCGTTATGTTCGGATCTTGATCTCTGCGTACTCGGTGCTGGTGGCCTCCGGGGCGGGCGGCTCCCCGAGCCTCGGGCCCCGGAAGCTGAGGGTGGCGTAGTGGAGCTCCATCTCCTCCCCCCGGGGCGGGGGACGCCGCCGGGGGCCGGTGGCCCAGCTGGCTTCCTGGCAGACACCCACGCTGGTACCCCTGAGTGGAGGGAGGAGAGGCGGTCAGATTAGGATAATGGGAGCTGGGAGTCAGCCTGGAGGGCCCACAGCTAACCTGGAAATTGAGCAAATTAGTCCTTCACCCGCTCATCCCACAGACATAGGTGAAGCCCCGTTCACTGAGTCAGCCGGCAGGTATTTTAGAGAAGTGATGCCTGGCTCTTGGTGATGGGTCGCCAGCCTCCCTGATTCCTCACCAGAGTCCACTAGGGCAGTGGTCGGCACACTGGCTCTTGAGCCACATGCGGCTCTTTGGCCCCTTGAGTATGGCTCTTCTGCAAAATATCTGTGCAATTGCCGAAACCGGTTTGGCTCAATGGATAGAGCGTCGGCTTGGGGACTGAAGGGTCCTGGGTTCGATTCCGGTCAAGGGCATGTACCTTGGTTGCGGGCACATCCCCAGTGGGAGGTGTGCAAGAGGCAGCTGATCGATGACTCTCTCTCATCGATGTTTCTAACTCTCTCTCCCTTCCTCTCTGTACAAAATCAATAAAATATTTTTAAAAAAGTATATCTGTGCAATTGAAACGTACAGTTCAATTGAAACTTCGTGGCCCCTGCGCAGAAGTCACTTTTTGGCTCTCAAAAATTTTCAATCATCGTCCCGTTGATATTTGGCTCTGTTGACTAATGAGTTTGCCGACCCCTGCACTAGGGTGACATTAACTCTATCCTATTTGCCAGGTGGAGAAACTGAGGCAAATACCCCAAAAGCACACGTGCAGTTGTTGGGAGGGCCAGGATTCACGCCGGAGTCTCTCTGGCTTCGGTGCCTCCTGCCTAGGGGCCAGCGCCCTGTGCCAGGCCCTGGATAGTCACCGGGGAGCAGAGCAGACACCACCCTGACCCGCCAGCCTGCAGTGGGAGGCGCAGGCCTGCAGGTGGCAGTCGGTTATGTTCCTCTCTAACCGCGCATTGTAAAGGATGCCCAGGAATGGAGCGGTGTAACCAGGACAAGAACCTGCTCGGACCCAGACTGCCCTGCCCTCGGGGCCACTCAGCATTTCAGGGGTTGATCTGGGAACGACGTTATGAACCCTACAAAGGATACCGTACGGTAAAGGGTGATCGCGGCCCAAAGAAAAGTCGGACCCTGTGCCCCAGCACCTGGGAGGGAACCTCTAAGCCTTGGGACGTCCTGCCTGTTCACAGGGGACCGTGGGCCACACCAGGCAGCTCGTGTGATGGATGGCGGCCTCCGCCACGTGGTGTCAGATGGAGACTGAGTTCAGCTCCGTGACCGTCTCCCACTTAGAACTGGACATCAGGCTCGGGGGCTTCCCCGGTGGGTGCCGTGCCGGTGGCCACGCATCATTGCTGGGAGAAGTGGGCACCATCCACGTGACTCCGCTGAGTGACGGCAGAACCCACGCCCGTCCTCCTGGCCCCGCCCCTGCGCCTCTTCCCGTGGCTGATTCTGTCCCCACCCGCCCGCCGTGACCAACCATGACAACGAGCAGTGGTCGGCAAACTGCGGCTCTTTGGTCCCTTGATTGTTCGAATGCCACTTCATCAAAATAGACTCGCCCAGGCTAAAAACCGACTTCTGCACATGGGCCACGGAGTTGCAATCGCACTGTACGTGCGCACCCACACGTGGTATTTTGTGGAAGAGCCACACTCAAGGGGCCAAGGAGCCACAGTTTGCCGACCACTGACCACGAGCATAACAACTTCTCCGAGTCGGAGTCCTTTGGGGAGTTATGAACATGAGTGTCTCGCATCCCCTAACCTTGCGGTAGACAATTATTTGGGGGCGATCCTTCTGGCGTCCTGTATTGGGGAGGAGAGACGGGAAGGAGGAGGAGGTGGGAGGTGGGAACGGGGTGGGGGGGGCCCGCTGGACCTGAACACACTCAGTAAGCCGGGAGCAGAGGGCATGCCGACTCCCGGCCGCCGTCCTGGGTGCCTGGGCTGACGGGGCCCCAAGAGGAAAGGTCACCGGGATGGATGTGGCCGCAGCGTCCTGGGGAGATGGAGGGGGCGGGGCCATGACTCACCGAGGAGCCGGGACCCGGCGTGGAGGGGGCGTCCTTCTCACCAGCTGCAGCCCGGGATGCGTCCCTCCTGCAGGTCTTCATTCTGAGGGGGAGGCGGGGGCCCCTGAGCAGCCTGCCGGGGCGGGCGCAGCGCTCAGGGTGTGGCCACCATCCCCCGCCAAGGGCCGATGACGCTGGATGCAGGGACGGGCCTGCGCTCTGACTTCCAGGATGGGAGCAGCCCCCTTCGGGTGGCTGGGTGACTGGGTGGCTGGGTGGGGAGGGCCCAGCCAGGCGGCTGTGCGGGGTTCCAGGCCCAGGCCCACCCTGCGCTCCCCCGGGACCACACTCACATGAAGACCATGAGGCAGACGCTGAGCAGCCCAGTGACCCCAGCTCCCGTGACAGCCCCCAGGACGAAGGCCTCCCTGAGCGCGGGCTCCCCTGCGGACAGATGGGTTTCGGGGTGACTCCCCTCCAAGCCCCAGGACCCTGTGCCCTGCCTGTGCTCTGTCCCTTTACTGGACTCTGCTCCCACCCCCACCTCTTCCTCCCTTCACCCTTTCTTTCCTGACTCAGCTCCCCTCTCCCCCCAGCCCCACCTTCTCTCTGACCCATGCCCGTCTCCGTGGCCTCTGCCCCCAGCAGGCCCCGGCCTGGCAGCAGCAGGACCCAGGCGCTCTGGGCCCCGTGCTCATTCCGGGCCTCGCAGCTGAGCCTGAGGTCAGGGCTGAGCCCCTCACGGAGGCTCAGGGAGCTGTTGGTCCAGGGCCCCGCTGAGCTGGAGGTGACAGCGTGGGAACCGTTGCCATGGTTCCCCGCCAGCAGCCCCGCCCCCAGCCGCCAGCGCAGGGAGGGGGCTGGCAGGGCCCTGGCGGAGCAGCTGCAGTGCAGAGCCTGGTCCTCCCAGGAGCAGGAGGGTCCCAGCAGCTGCGGGGGGCCTGTGGGGAGCGAGGAGAGGGGTCAGCAATGCCTCTGCCCTCCCGGGACCCCGTGTGCCCCCCACCTCTCCACAAACACACACACACACACTCACTCTGCACACGGAGACGCAGGGAGGCGCGCAGGGAGCCCCGCGGGTGCTGAGCTTGGCAGGTGAATTTGCCTTCGTGCCCCGCCTCCACCCGGGGCAGCTCCAGGACCCCGGGCTGGCGGGGCTGTGAGGGGCCCAGGGGCCGGCCGCCCTGGGCCCAGCTCAGCGTGGCAGGAGGGTTGCTGTTCGCGACACAGAGCAGGCGGAGCGAGTCCCCTTCCCGGACTGGGAGAGCCGAGCCGTTCCCCACGCGTTCCAGCTCTGGAGAGAGAGAGGGCCTGCGGGTCAGAAGTCTTCTTCCTGTTCCTCTCTCCTCTCCCTTTAAAAAAAAAAAATATATATATATATATATATATATATATATATATATATATATATATATATATATATATATATATATATATATTATTGGTTTTTTTACAGAGAGGAAGGGAGAGGGATAGAGTTAGAAACATCAATGAGAGAGAAGCATCAATCAGCTGACTCCTGCACACCCCCGACTGGGGATGTGCCAGCAACCAAGATACATGCCCTTGGCCGGAATCGAACCTGGGACCTTTCAGTCCGCAGGTCGATGCACTATCCACTGAGCCAAACCGGTTAGGGCCTTTTCTTTTTTTAAATCCTTACCCAAGGGTGCGTGTGTGTGTTTAAATACACTTTTATTGGTTCCAGAGAGGAAGGGAGAGGGAGAGAGACAGAAGCATCAATGATGAGAGAGAATCATTGGTGGGCTGCCTCCTGCACGCCCCCTAGTGGGAATTGAGCCCTCAACCCAGGCACGTGCCCTGACCAGGAATCGAACCGTGACCTCCCGGGTCATAGGTCCCCAGTTCAACCACTGCGTGGACACTGCCAGCCCGAGGCTGTGTTTTCATTGATTTTGGGAGAGAGAGGCGGGGAGAGTGAGAGAAACTTCGATGTGAGAGCGAAGCACCCCCCCCCCCTTACCTGTGTGGCTTCCTCGGGAGGCACTGATGGCCAGGCTCTGCGGGGCATCTGGCCGGAGGGACACAGTGAGGAACAGAGGCCCTTTCCCCTGCTCCCGCACCCCCAGGACGCACAGAAACGGGAAGTGGAGACGCCCGCGCCTGTGTCCTCCCTGCAGCCCGTCCCCCACCCGGCGTCCCGGCCGCACTCACAGGACACGTTGAGCGTGATGGTCCTCACGCTGCTCACGTTAACCCCGGGGAAGGTGACCCGGCAGGTGAGGTTGGTGCCGTGGTCCTGCGGGCGGGGCTTGACCATGATCTCAGAGAACTTAAAGGCCGATGGGCCCAGCGCCCGGGATCTGAAGACCGCCCCGCTCCAGGAGACGGCGCCGGGCTGCAGCCAGGCGCAGACCCCAGGCAGGGAGCACACCAGGTGGCTCAGGCGGCCGGCCTCCAGGGGCGTCTTGACCTGGATGTCCGGGGTCTGGGTCAGCGCTGGAGAGAGAGACGGTGAGACGGTGTGCACCCCAGCCCTGAACTGCTGCCCGACCCGGTGGCCCAGCCCTGGGACCGCTCCTTACCTGTCACGGTCACGGTGAGCAGTTTGTCCCCGTAGGTGTGGTTCGCACGGCCCCTCTCCAGGTGGAAGTAATATTTTCCACTGTGTCCGGGCCCCGCCCCTGAGATGCTCAGGGAGCAGTTGCCGTTCCCCGGGTCCCCGGAGAGGTAGAATGGAGAAGGTTTCGCCTTCCTCGCTGTTTTCGTGGTTTGCTTGTTTGTGGCCACGAGGACATCGCCTCTGACAGCATCCCTTTTCTTGTACCAGTAGCCGTACGCTGGGGTCGAGTCGTTCCAGCCCTCCTGGGGGGAGGACACCTCGCAGGGCACCTGCACGCACAGACCCGCCTGCACCGTCACCGAGTCCTGCGCCTGCAGCTGGTACTCTGGACCCTTTTGCCGGGACCCTGGAGGGACAGCAGCTCAGCTGCAGCACCAGCCCCGCCCCGGCCCCGGCCCGGTCCCGGCCCTGCCCTGGCCCTGCCCTGGCCCACTCACTTGCCCGCAGCGGCGGCAGCAGCAGCAGCAGCAGCAGCAGCAGCATGTCTGGGCCCGGCTGGGCTGTCCCCGGGCTGTCTGGCGTCTGTCCTGGAAGGAAGCGCTGTCTGGAGGAGGGGGCAGTGGCCACCAGAAGCGGAACCCCAGGAAACGCAAACAGGCCCAGAAAATCCCCTCTTCGGACTTCTCCTTTTATGGAGGAAAATAACAAGGCAGAGAGAGAGCCTGCGGTCACCCTGGGTCATTTTCAGGGAGGACAGTCTCAGGAGTGGGCCTTTGGGGGCAACAGATGAGTAAGGGCTTCAGGTGAGATGCTGGAAGCAGGCATTTGGGGGCGCACAGGAGGCAGCCGGTGGATGAGTCTTTCTCATCATTGATGTTTCTCTTCTCTTTCCCTCTCCCTTCCTCCCTGAAATAAATGTGTATATATTTATGCATATATTTAAAGTGGGGGCAATTGCACAGGGATCTACACTCCTAAGGGCCTCCTGCCAGGAGTTCAAAATTCTTAATAATTTTACCTTTAAAAAAAAATACTCACTTGAGGATATAGTTATTTTTTAAAATATATTTTATTGATTTTTTTACAGAGAGAAAAGGAGAGGGAAGGAGAGTTAGAAACATTGATGAGAGAGAAACATCGATCAGCTGCCTTCTGCACATCCCTCACTGGGGATGTGCCCACAACCAAGGCACATGCCCTTGACCAGAATCAAACCTGGGACCCTTGAGTCCACAGGCTGACGCTCTATCCACTGGGCCAGATGGTTAAGGCTGTGTCTCTTCTTATAAGGACACTAATCTTGCCCTGGCCGGTGTCACTTAGTGGTTGAAGCATTGGCCTTCGAAACTAAGGGTCACTGGTTTGATTTCATGTCGAGGGCTCATACCTGGGTTGCAGATTCCATCCCCAGTCCCAATCAGGATGCATGTGTCTCTCTCATTAATGTTTTTCTCTCTCTCTCCCTCCCCCTCCCTTTCTCCCTTCCACACTCTCTAAAAATAAAAGGGAAAAAAAATATCCTTGAGGTGAGGATTATAAATAAATAAATAAATAAATAAATAAATAAAGGCACTAATCTTATGTATCAGGGGCCCACCCTTATGACCTCCTATAACCTTAATGATCTCTAATGGCCCTGTCTCCAAACGTAGTCACATTGGGAGTTAGGGGTTCCACATGTGAATTTGTGGTAGGGGAGCAATTCAGACATAGCAACTGGGAGAATTTTGGCACTGCCCATGTGATTTCATCAGGAAAGACAACTGGAAGCTTGCATCTGATCTGTCCTGGACTGTGCCCCATTCCCCTTTTCCCTTTGGGGATTTTATCTGTATCCTTTTGCTGTGAAAAACCATGAGTGTAATAGTTTCTCTTAATTCACTGAGTTCTCCTAGCCGCGAGTTGGACATGCTTGTAGGTCTTGGAGGCTTCCAGAACAGTCTGTTCCCCTTTTCAGGCTGTGGTGCAGGAAGCACCCCCTCCGTGGGGGCGACAGCGCCCACCTGCAGATTCTGCAGACCGGGGCTCGGCGTCCTCCGGGCGCCCCCTGGTAGTCTCATGCAGTAGTCCTCTCCCAAGGGCCCAGAGCTTGTCTGAGTCGGAAAGTTGCTGGCGAGGCAAATGTCCCAGTTGATCACAAACACATAAAAGGAATTGGGGTGAGTGCAACCAGAATTGCACAGAATAAAGAACCAGGAATTGCAGAGAATAAAGAATCGGTTCCCTTGCATCTGGAACCAGTTCCCCATTTCTCAACCTCTAGCCCCTCAAACATATGGTGCCATTCCTTTCTGCTGTTGTTAATCCTCACCCCAGGATGTTTTTTTTTTTTTCCTTAATGACATTACTTGTAACTAAATGGTCTCAGCTGGTACCACAGGGGCACCACCAGCATCAGCAGTCCCAACCCGTGGCTTGTCCACTCAGGGTCATTGCATCTCCTGCCTGTCCCTCCCCCTTGCCTTTGCTGCTATTTTGTACACTGCCCAGCTTGAGGAGGGCTCAGGGGAGCAGGCTCTGTAAAAAGGGGACCCCAGGACCTGTTTTTGACCCAGAAAACCAGGTGTGTGTGTGTGTGTGTCTTTGCACCTGTGCCTCTGCCTGCAGGTGCGCATGTCTGTGTCTCTGAGTGTGTATTTTTTTTAAATATATTTTTATTGATTTTGTACAGAGAGGAAGGGAGAGAGATAGAGAGTTAGAAACATCGATGAGAGAGTCATCGATCAACTGCCTCTTGCACACCCCCTACTGGAGATATGCCCGCAACCAAGGTACATGCCCTTGACCAGAATCGAACCCAGGACCCTTCAGTCCCACTCTATCCATTGAGCCAAACCAGTCTTGGCTGAGTGTGTATTTTTTTAATCCTCACCGGAGGATATTTTTTTCCATTCATTCCCAGAGTAAGAAGGGAGGGAGGAGGGAGAGAGAGAGAAACATCGATGTGAGAGACACATCAATGGGTTACCTCCCACATGCGCCCCTCCTGGGGCTGGGAACCTGCAACCGAGGTTGTGCCCTTGACTGGGAATCGCTCGCGGGACCCTTGAGTCCACAGGCCGACGCTCTAGCGACTGAACAGAACCGTCCAGGGCTCTGAGTGTGTATTTTGTTTTGTTTTAATTTTCCCTTTTGACCTTTAATTTCCTTTTAAGGCATGATTTGCGGTGTTTATTTGCTCTTGTGTTCCTTTCCTTGAACTCTTACTTTTTTTTTTTTTTTTTTTTGATTTCAGAGAAGAAGGGAGAGGGAGAGACAAAAACATCAATGGTGAGAGAGAATCATTGATGGCTGCCTCCTGCACGCCCCCTACTGGGGATCGAGCCCGCAACCCAGGCATATGTCCTTGGCCAGAATTGAACCAGGGACCATTTGGTACTGAGCTAAGCCAGCACTCTATCCACTGAGCTAAGCCAGCTAGGGCTGAACTCTACATTTTTTAGTTTTCGTTTGTGTCTTGTTAATCCTTACCCAAAGATATTTTCCCCATTGATTTGTAGAGAGAGTGGAAGGGAGAGGAAGAGAAACAGAAAGAGAGAAATATCAATGTGAGAGAGAGACAGGGATTGGTTGCCTCCTCCACGGGCCAGGGCTGGGATGGGGCCTGCAACCAAGGTACATGCCCTTGACCAGAATGGAACCTGGGACCCTTCAATCCTTGGAGTCAAACTGGCTAGTATGTACTGAGTGTGTATTTTGTACCTGCGTGTCCATGTGCTGTGTGCATGTGTGGTAGGCATTTGAAATCAGCCCCGTGGGCTAATACTGAGCGGGACCACGGTATCTTGGGTACCACATGGAAGACCAGGAGCCATTAGTGTGTGTGCGGGAGGCTTGGCTTTGATAATGAAAACCTGAGTGGGCCTGGGGGCCCGCCCACCCGAGGGAGACCAGGAGCCGCTGTCTCAGCCTCCGGCTCATCCTGGGAGGCCCATCTCTTCCAGAGGTAGAAGGGCTCTCCCGGTGCCCAATCTGTATCCCCCGCCCATCAGGCTGGCCTGGGCCCAGGAGGGCTGAATCCCGTGCCCCTCACAGCCCTCAGACCCCGGCATCCTGGAGCTGGGGTGTGAAGGCGAATTCACCTGTGGAGTCAGGTACCTGAGCTGGGCCAGCAGGTGGCGAGGCGGCAGGTGAGTTCCCTGGACTCCTGCCCGGAATCCTGGGACCTGAGGGACTGGGGAGGGGGGTGGGGGGACGGGCAGGAGGGGTTCCCACCAGGTGCAGGGACAGACCTCCAGGGCCATCGTGATGTGACGCTGCCCAGGGAGACACGAGGGTGTGGCAATGAGTGTTTCTCTCTCCTCCCACAGACAGAATCAAAGAAAACGCCAGCCAGGCCCTCATGGCTCAGGGGTTGAGCGTAGAGACCTATGGACCAGGAAGTCACAATTCAATTCCCGGTCAGGGCACAGGCCTGGGTTGAGGGCTCCATTCCCAGCCGATCAATGATTCTCTCTCATCGTTGATGTTTTATCTCTATCCTTCTCCCTTCCTCTCAGAAATCAATAATGAACATGTACTTAAAAAGAAAACAGGCCAGCCAAAACATGTTTGGCTCAGCGGTTGGAGCGTCGGTCTGTGGACTGAAAGGTCCCGGGTTCGATTCCGGTCAGGGGCATGTACATTGGTTGCCGACACATCTCCCCAGTGGGGGGTGTGCAGGAGGCGGCTGGTCGATGTTTCTCTCTCATCGACGTTTCTAACTATATCTATCCCTCTCCTTTCCTCTCTGTGAAAAATCAATAAAATATATTTAAAAGAAGAAAAGAAAAAAAGAAAAAGAAAACACGCCAGATTTCAGGTGGAGGATTCAAGAAGATAGTGCATGAGAAGCTATATAATCACATACACACACACACACACACACACACACACACACACACACAAAGATGCCCGCGTGCTAATCACAGGCACTATGTTACCTTGCGTGGCCAGAGGGCTTTGCAGACGTGATTATGTGTTAAGGAGCGGGGGGTGGGGAGGTCCCGGGGGACCCTGTCACAAGTTGATAACAAGGAGGCAGATGCGACTAGAGAAGGGGAAGGGGAAGTGGCACTGAAAAGGCAGGAACATTCTCAGGGTGAAGTATGGTAGTAGAAAATGTGGTTTGGCTTCTGTACTTACTTGTTTGCTAAAACAAGAGAGAGTTATTTTGATTTTCTGAACTTACACATGCTGTCCCAACACTCCATGGGGGACGGTTTGAGTGTCATCGAAGCACCTTCTTCTGGGACCCAGGATGGATCCATGACCCTAAATGGCCTCAGGAGCTACAGATGACGTGTTTCCGTGGACTCAGTGGCCCGGAATCAGGACAGACCCTAAATTGCCTCAATAGCCCTTATAAATGCATTCCAGTTGACTCGGTGGTCCCAGAATCTGGGCAGCACAATTATTCTAAATTGCCCTGGTGGTCCCAGATAATGTGTTTCTGTTGACTCAGTGATTGGCAGATACTTTAGGTAACTAAACTTGCTCAGTTTTGAGTCTGTAAAATGCTTTTCGAGAAACAGGTTCCTCATTCCAGACCCAAAGCTGTAATCGATACCTTCCTGACATTCTGCCCAGATAAGCCAGACGTGGCGAGCTGTTCGGGGCTGCGAGATTGGGAGCTTTAGCCCCTCATATGCCACCAGCCTTTAATAAATGACTCCACGATTGGACTTTTTGAGGCATCCTTTGTAAGATGGGGGTACACTACAACGCCGGGCCTCTAGGAGGAACCAGCCCTGCCCACACCTTGATTTTACCCCACGAGACTCAGTTTGGACTCCTGAACCACCACCTCCACGGGTAACAACACATTTGTGTGGTTTTAAGCCAAGTTTAAATATATATTTTATTGATTTTTTACAGAGAGGAGGAGAGAGGGATAGAGAGCCAGAAACGTCGATGAGAGAGAATCATCAATCAGCTGCCTCTTGCACACCCCCTACTGGGGATGTGCCTGCAACCAATGTACAGGACCTTGACTGGAATCGAACCCGGGACCTTTCAGTCCGCAGACCGACGCTCTACCTACCACTGAGCCAAACCGGTTTCGGCAAGCCACCAAGTTTAAATGTCCGCCCTGGGGCGGTCTCCGGCGGGATCCCTACCACGCCCCACGAAGTGCTTTATGGATATTCAGCCATTTAATGCGCAGGACAACCATAGGAAGCAGGTGCTGCTGTTCCCATTTGATCGCAGAGGAAACGGGCACAGAGAGCCTAAGCTAGCTGCCCCAGGTCACACAGCGGGCTGGGGGCCTGGAGCAGGGAGTCCGCCGCGTCTGTCCCGCCCACACCGGGCGGCGGGGACGCCTCTCTGTACTGAAGATGTCCTGGATTTGGGGTCCTGTCTGCCCTCCCTACCGGATGTGAGCTCGGACTTCCTCTGCCGTCCGGAGGCACTTTAAGAACCTGCGGACTGAAGGAGGGAGGAATGGGACCCAGAGTGACCGCACCCCTTGGACCGCAGTCCTCCTGCTGAGCTTCGGACAGAGAGGATCCAGCAGAGCCCGCCCACGGCGGAGCACGGGCGCCACCAGGCGGCGAAGTGCAGGACAGCGCGGCCCGCAGCCCCGAAAGCGTTGCTTTAGTTTTAGGACCTTGATGGAGCCTCACGCAGCTCTTTGGCCCCTTGAGCGTGGCTCTTCCACACAATACCACGGCCTGGGCGAGTCTTTGTTGAAGAAGTGGCATTAGAAGAAGTTTAAGTTTTAAAACTTTGGCTCTCCAAAAAAATTTCAATCGTCGTACTGTTGATATTTGGCTCCGTGGACTAAGGAGTTTGCCGACCCTGGCCCCAGGGGGCTCCTTCCTGGCCTCTTGCTGTTCCTGGCGGTTTCCGCATCCCTGGGCTTGTGGCCGCATCACTCCAATCTCCGCCGCCTCCTTTCCTCTCTGTGTTCCTTCTCTTACAAGGACCTTTGTCATTCCACTTAGCGCTCCTACCTGCCTTTTTCCAAATAGGACACATTTATAGATCCCGGGAGTTGGGGTTGTGGACAGATCTTTTGAGGGGTCACCAACCCACTACAGACCCCTGAAGGCTAACGGATCAAGGGTGGCCAAGAGACACACTCCTCATTCCCCGCCCCCACTTCATGGAATTGCAAGTGTCAACAACTAATTGGGGAGCTGCGATGGGCAGGGGTTTGGGGGGGGGGGGGGAATAGGGGTTGGAAACATCTGGAATTAGCGAGGTGATGGTTGCACAACATTGCAAATGCACTCGATGCCGCTGCATTGTTCACCTTCACAGTGGCTCTTCCTCCACAGCTAACAGAGCTTCCTGCCGTGTTAATGCGCGTTAAGTGCTTAAAATAGCGCTTGGGACGTGGAGAGCCCTCGGTAGCTGTAGGGCAGCGTGCCCACCACGGCTGCCAGCCCAGCTCCCACTGACCTCCCAATGACGGGGAGGCTTCAACCAGGCAGGGGTTCCTCTTCATGGGGCACCCACAACTCTTTCTTTTAAAAAAATATATTTTATTGATTTTTTACAGAGAGGAAGAGAGAGGGATAGAAAGTTAGAAACGATGATGAGAGAAACATCGATCAGCTGCCTCCTGCACAACCCCCATGGGGATGTGCCTGCAATCAAGGTACATGCCCCTGACCCTGACCGGAATCGAACCTGGAACCTTCCAGTCCGCAGGACGATGCTCTATCCACTGAGCCACACCGGTTTCGGCCACCCCACAATTCTTGCTGCAGCTGCCCCTTCCTTCGCATTCTGGTGTCACCTTTTTTGGTGTGTGTGTGTATGACAAGGACCATGAGGAGCTAGCACCATTGGCAATCCTTTCTTTTTTTTAAAAAAATTCTTTATTAAGGTATCACATATTTGTCCTCATCCCCCATTCACATCCCAAACCCCTCCCCATGTATGTCTCCACCCCCCGGCAATCCTTTCTTTTACCTAGTAATTGGTGGTCTGAATCTAAAAGGGGTGTTGCATCATTTAAAAAAAAATTTTAAAAAATATATTTTATTGATTTTTTACAGAGAGGGAGAGAGCTAGAAATGTCAATAAGAGAGAAAGATCGACCAGCTGCCTCTTGCACACCCCCTACTGGGGATGCGCCCGCAACCAATGTACATGCCCTTGACCGGAATCGAACCTGGGACCTTTCAGTCCGCAGATCGACGGTCTACTACTGAGCCAAACCGGTTTCGGCAGGTGTTGCATCATTTTTAAAAAATGTTTTTATTGATTTCAGAGAGGAAGAGGGATAGAAACATCAATAATGAATCATTGATTGGCTGCCTCCTGCACACCCCCTACTGGGGATCCAGCCTGAGACCCAGGCATGTGTCCTTGACCGGAATCAAACCCGGGACCTTTCAGTCCGCAGGCCAAAGCTCTACCAATGGAGCCAGAACTGTTGTATCACTATCAGTTCAGTCAGTCTGGTCATGGCCTTGGCCATGCACCAAGTCCTGACAGTAAGTATTATGCTATTTCCTTTTTTATTTGTTAATCCTCACCCAAGGATGTTTTTAGAGAGGGAGGAGACAAAGAGAAACATAGATGTGAGAGACACATTGATTGGTTGCCTCCTGAACATGTGACCGGGATCATGGGTGGAACCTGTAACCCATGTATACACCCTGGACTGGGAATCGGGAATCGAACCATCGACCTTTTGGTGCATGCATGGTAACTCTAACCACTGAGCCAGGGCTCTCTTTTTGTACATTTTTATTTGATTTTTTTAAAAGAGAGAAACATCGATTTGTTGCTCCACTTACTTATGCATTCAGTGGTTGATTCTTGTGTGTATCCTGACCAGGGATTGAACAGAAACCTTGGGTATTGGATAACACTAACCAACTGAGCTACCCAGCCAGGGCTGTTATTTCTTCTTCTTCCTCCTCCTCTTCTTCTTCTTCTAAATAATATATTTTATTGACTTTTTTACGTAGAGGAAGGGAGAGGGATAGAGAGCCAGAAAAATCGATGAGAGAGAAACATGGATCAGCTGCCTCCTGCACACCCTCCACTGGGGATGTGCCTGCAACCAAGGCACATGCCCTTGACCGGAATCAAACCCAGGACCCTTCAGTCCGCAGGCCGATGCTCCAACCACTGAGCCAAACCAGTCAGGGTCAGGGCTGTTATTTCTATTACCATCATTTTTGTCTGTGACCTGAGACTGTCCTCTCTCCAACTTTTCTCAAAGACCAGACACACAGACTGGAGGAAATTCATTTTATTTGCTCCCCCACCCCCCAAGGATCACTCCCTGCCCGCCCTCACCTAGACACAGCCCAGCCCCAACCATTTCACAGAACACTGCGTTCTTCCCAGAGCTAAACGGACACCCAGCCACCAACTACGGCCACCCCAGCCCTGCCGGCCCCCCCATCCGCCCCCACAGCCACTGGCGCTGAGCCGGCTCCCTGCACAAATGTCTTTCCCTGGGTCACCTGGCTTGCTTTTCGTGCTTCATCACATGGGTGTCATTCTTAAAACCCTCCCTGACCTTGCCCCAGAGGGCTCTCCTGTCTTCATCGGCACAGCTTCCCGGTCTCCCCGCTGCGGGAGGATCCTGAGCTCCCCGGGGCCCCTCCCTCAGCTGTCACCTGGGAAGTGCTGACATTGACTAAGGCCAGATGGGCCATGGTTCTGGGGAGGGAAGAGGGGAGCAAAACCAGAAATGGACAAGGACACAAGGATAAAAGGAGAGAGAATGGGGGGTGGGGGATGGGAAGAGGCTAGAGGCAGAGGGATGAGAGAGGGACCCTCCTGCCTCAGCCCGCCCCCCCAAAGAGGTGAAGACCAGCGCCCCCTAGAGGCCAGAGCCTGCCCGTCTAGCTGCTGTGGGTCCTCTGGCTTCGCGCCTTGTACACCTCGATGAGCAGGTCCTTGACGTACTGGATCTCCCGCTCCACGGACTCGGCCCTCTCCCTCAGCTCGCGGTTCCGTGCCTCTAGCCCCTGGCACTGGCCCTCCAGCGCCTCCCCCTCTGCCCGCTTCCTCTGGCGGTACCTCAGGGCCGCCGACTTGTTCTGGTCTCTCTTCTTTTGCTTGCGGTCGCCTCGAGTGGTGGTGGCAGGACTGGGGTAGGGGGCCGGGCGAGAGGGGGGAGGAGGCAGAGGAGGAGGGGGCTCCTGTGCTGGGGGAAGGGGTGCCAAGCCCGCATCCCCCTGCCCGGACTCGTTGCGGCAGTACATGACCAGCAGGTCGAGGGTATCCAGGGCAGGGGGCTGGGGGAGGTCGAAGGTGGGCAGGGGGAGCGGAAGGGGGGTTGCTGGCGGTGGTGGCGGCGGCGGCAGCTGTGGTGGTGGGGAGGACGGTGGAAGAAGTGGACCATCGAGGAAGAAGTCTTCCATCTGCTCCAGCTCCTTCTTGAGGAGGGAGGCCATGGCTTCCAGGTCAGGTGGGGGCGGGGAAGGTGGGGGGAGGGCACCGGAGGGGAAGGGGGGCTCCAAAGGGAGGAGGGCTGTGAAGTCAACCCGCTCAGTCATCCAGTCCGAGAAGCCATCACCTGGAGGAGTGGAGAAGGACAAGTTCCCTCAGTTCCGGGTCTTCCACCCAATGGGGTGCTCACTCATCTCTGCTCCATCCATCTCACCCACGGAGTAAATCCTCCAGCGAGCCCATCCGTCTACCAGCTGGTCAAGGAATCATCAAACCAGTCCACAAACCAACGGGTAAATCAAAATAACTAACTAACTAACGGACCAACCCATCGACTAAGTGAATCAGTCACTCAACTATCCCGATCAACCAATTAATGAGCCAGTCAACCAACCAATGATCCAAACAACAAGAGTCAGCCAGCCATTTTATAACCATCCCAACATCCTCTTTACGGATTACCCTCTATCTGTGGTTTCTCTGATGTACTCTGCAGTTCGTCTTAAAAAGCAAACCAGATCCCTGTTTCATCTTCCATCCATTCATTGCGGACGACCCACCAGGTTCCAGGCATGTGGGGCACCACGAATGAATGAAGTAATTCCTGCCTCAGGACCTTTGCATATGCTGTTCTCTCCACCTGAAAAGCTCTTCGCTTGGGTCTTATCATGGCTCATTCCTTCCCAGCCTTGAGGCCTCAGCCAAAATGTCACCTAATTGGCAAGGGTTTCCTGGAGACCCACTCTGAACGAGGTCCCCGGTGGCATTTTTTTTTAGCTCACTACTAAGCGTTTCCCACGTACCCCACAACCTTCTCATTTTATTCCTCTGGTCTATCTCCCCACTAGAGTGTGAGCTCTAAGAAGGCAGGGACCATGTCAGCCTTATTCCCAGTTACATCCCCAGCACTTAAAACAGTGTCCAACATATTACAGGCACTCAGTAATGACTTATCCAACTAATAAATAAATGAACTCTTCCTCCTCCTACCCTGTCTCCTCCTCTCCCTCCTCCCCCCCCCCCCCCCCGTCCTAGCTCACCCCACCTCCACTCCCCACCTGTCCTTACCTGTCAGGGGCTCTCCCCCCCCTGGAAGCCCGCCCTCCAGGGCTCCCCCAAGGACCTCATAGGGGCCCAGGGGGGCAGGGGCCAGGGGGAGTTTCCCATAGTCTACGAGCCAGCCCAGCCCGCTAGCTGGGAGCAGGGCCCTGTCCAGCTCCAGCCCCAGGGTCGCCAGGAGTGACATGGCTGCAGCACGGGCGCTGGGCACGGGTGGCGGTGAAGGAGGCTGCTCCAGCAGCTGGGAGGCGGCTCTGCAGGCTGCTCAGCTGGGCGAAGACAGACACCACGGCGAAAGTGGAGGACCTACACGTGAGACACAAGTAGGTGGGGGTCATAGGTCAGCTTCACTCACAGGGAAACCAAGCCACACCCCATGGCCCCGGGGTCCTCCCTCCCGCTTCCAACTGGGATTGGGGCTACACAGCGCCCTCTCAGCATCCTAAATCTGCCCCTTCCCCAAATCCCTGAGCCCTACTGTAGTATCATAAACCAGTGGGCGAGATTTAATGAGCCAATTAATCAAGAGACGTTTATTTCTCAGAGGTGACTCTTCCAAATCTCTGAGCAACACATACAGTAAGTCTCCCGTCTTTATATTTTCGAGCCTCTTTGTTTGCAAGGATTACAAAGGGCTCCCTATGAGTTAATTGTTACAGGCAGGTGTAACCTTGAATACATAATGAGTTAGCACAGCGGCGTAAGAATATGGGAATTATTATCAGTATTAGTCCATATTAGTTTGTTACATCGGATGGCTAGTTTGCAAGGTCAGACAGTTACGTTTATCTTTTTCTATTATTTGAACTAAAAACAAAGTCATTTCATAGAATAAGAGACAGTCTTAAAGTGACAGAGTTGACAATGGCAGAGTTTAGAGGACTAGGGACTATCTAACAATAGTAGAGAATTTCAAACAGCAGTTTTATTTTTTAAAATATATTTTATTGATTTTTTACAGAAAGGAAGGGAGAGGGATAGTTAGAAACATTGGCTCAAACAGCAGTTGTATACAAGACGGAGGTTACTATGCTTCATTACCACTCCCAAGGGAATTCTCTTTGTGCCCGTCTTCAAAATCCCAAGACCCAGTCCTTCCAATACAGAAATCTAACGGTCTCCCAGGGGAATTTCCTTTAGCCACTCCCACGCACACCATAATATTCCACCTTAAAAGAACTCAATGGGGGGAGGGGGACAGGTGAAGGCATATGCTGGGGGGTAGGAGAGGCTGGGGGGAGGTCAAGGATGGAAAAAAGGAGACATATGTACTATTTGTAATGCTTAAGAATTTTTTTTTAAAAACCAAAAAACCTCAATCCCAGGGGAATTTTCTTCCAGTCACATTCCTCCTTCTCAAACATTTCTTTTAGGCCCCACTCTCTCCCTAGGTTCCCAGGGGAATTCCCCGTTTCCCTCCCCTTACCCCCTCAATATTATCCATTCGCATCCCATCCTTCCCTTTTAGAACTTTGCAGCGACCTCCATTGTCCCTCCAAGTCCCGCCCCTCTGTTTATCTTAGCCCCGCCCCTCCCAGATGGTTCCCCAGAGGCCCCGCCTCTTCCTCCAATCGGAACCCCAACCCTCTTCCCAACGTTCGCTTAGCCCCGCCCCTCACAATGGCTCCCGTAAGCCCCTCCCTTCGCGATGGCCGTGACCCTAGCCCCACCCCATTCGTAACGGGTTGTCTCCAAGCCCCGCTTTCTACCCAAGTTAAACCAGCTCCCGCCCCAGCAGATGCCTGAATAAAAAAGAGGGCAGCCGTGCTGTAACGACTAAGCAATGTGGAGCAGGGAAGGCGGAGGGGACCGGCGAACGGCCTCCACACACACACCCCCCCGCCATGCGTCCACACTAGGCTTTCTCGCAGAAGGCCAAAGCGCATGCGCCGCCCCTGAAACGGTCCCAAGGCTCTAACGCTTCCGCCCCCCTGGGGGCTAGTGCGCGTGCGCAGCTGCTTACTGCCGGCCCTCCGCGCAGAAATACGGGTTCTGGTGCGCTAGTGCGCATGAGCAACGGCGCGCGGACAAACAAGTAAAACTCTCCCTGGCGGCCAGTACGCCGGCGCAGCCGCACGTGGGCCGTCTTTAAACGCCAACATTCTCTGTAAGAACCCCCGCCCCGCTTCCCCACCATTGGGCCGAGTGCGCATGCTCGGCAGCGCGCCGACGCGCGAGTTCCCTCTTCTGCGCCTGCGCGACCGTGATCCCTCACGCTCGCCTCCCCCCCTCCCTTCTCCGGCCTAGTCGTGAAGGCCGCGAGCTTCGAAAGGGCGGGAAAGGCAGTTGGAGCAGGAGGGACGAGCGGTTACTCACTCCATGGCTGCGGAGAAGAGAGGCGGCAGCGGCCTCGGCTGAAGAGAGAAGGCGGGAGCGGAGAGCGCAGGCGCGGTAAGCGTGGAGGCGGGCCGGGGGCACGGAGGGGTCGCGGCTACAGAGCCATGGCGGGGCTACGCGGGCGGAGACGGTGTCGCGGCAGCGCGGGGAGAGATCGTGAGCTGACGTGACCTGAGGATGGGGAATGAGGCGGCCCCGGGGACTTGGGACAGATATACCGGGGGCGGCGCAGCACGCGGCACGCCGGATCCTTCCGCGCCCCGCCCCGGCGGGGCCCCAACCGGCGGCGGCGGGCGGGCCTGGCCCCCTCCTCTCGGGGCTCCGGCCCCATCCTCCTTTGGACCCCACGAGTTCGGCCCTCTCCTTTCTCCGGCCTAGGATCCAACTCAACTCCCTTTTCCTTCCGACCCCGAGGGTTCTGGCCCTCCTTTCCCCGTGGCCCTGAGGTCCGGCCCCTTCCCTCTGCGAGTCCGGTCTTCTGCTCTCTCGGACCCAGCGGCCTGGTTTCCTCCTCCCTGAGACCAGCACTGGCTCATTTGTGGTTTACTTCCCTTTGCTTCACGGGTTTGCGGCCCGCCACATGCTGGTGTCTTCATGCCCCGACTTACGTCTCACCCCGAGGACCCTTTTGGGGGGTTGGCCCCGCGGGAGGCACAGCCCTGCCGTGGGTCGGCCTTGGGAAGATAACTGAAATCCTCGGGCCTCCAATAGGTGGGGAACTGCCTGTAAAATGAGAATAAGCAACTGTCCCCGAGGCGGTGGTTTGTGAGAGTCAAGTTGATGCTGCGGGAGTCCCACGCACAGAGCCTCGCTCATACATGTCTGTTCACGTTTTTTGTTATCAATGGGAACCCGGGCCCCACTCTCACCCCACCCCCACCACTGTAAGAACCCCAGACACTTGTTAATCCTTACCCGAGGATATTCTTTCCCATTGATTTTGAGAGAGAGAGAGAGAGAAACATCAATGTGAGATAGACACATGGACTGATTGCCTCCCACCCCAGTCCCAACCTGGGCTGGGAATCAAGCCTGGGACCCTTCGGTGCTGGACCAACATTCTACCCACTGAGCCACACAGGCCAGGCAGGGCAAGAGCCTCAGGCACTTGACTAACCAACGCCTGCTAATAGACCTTCCTTTTTTTTTTTTTTTTAATATATATTTTGAGGTTTTACAGAGGGATAGAACGTAGAAACATCGATGAGAGAGAAACATAGACCAGCTGCCTCTTGCACACCCCACACTGGGGATGTGCCCGCAACCAAGGTACATGCCCTTGACCGGAATCGAACCCGGGACCTTTCAGTCCTCAGGCCCATGCCCTATCCACTGAGCCACACCGGTTTCAGCTAATAGGCCCTTCTTGTGTATTAGCCAGTTTAAGGTGGCAGTTTTCAGCCATCCCACCGTCACCCGTTCCAAATGTTGGGTGTTCAGCCCCTTCCTGACCCAGGGATGAGGGAATCGGGCAGTATCGCCCCCACTCCCCCCTTTTCACCACCCACTGCCCACCTTCCTCAGCCCTGTCCCCGTCACTGCTCTCCGGCCAGCTGGTTCGTTCTTCTGCCCGCGCGCCCCACTTCTGAACTGTCCCCCACTGGCTTAGTCTCACAGCCCTGCCCCAAACGGGGAGATCTGTACCTCCATTTGTAACGGGAGCGTCCTCGCTGCTCCTTCCCCGTGCGCTGGGCCCTCCGCCATCCCAAGTGGATGTTGGTCTTTCCTCTGCGGCAGAAACTTCTCTTTCCCGCCCTGCACCTGTCCACGTCAGGACATCACACCTGGAGGTCAGCCTTCATCACTTTTACGGCAGAACGGGACTGAATCAAAAATCCAGAGAGGTGAGGTGGGGCGACCCTAATCCTGAGAGTTATGTGGGGAATAAAGATATGCAGGCTCACCGAAACCGGTTTGGCTCAGTGGATAGAGCATCAGCTTGGGGACTGAGGGGTCCCGGGTTCGATTCCGGTCAAGGGCATGTATCTTGGTTGCAGGCACATCCCCAGTAGGGTGTGTGCAGGAGGCAGCTGATCGATGACTCTCTCTCATTGATGTTTCTAACTCTCTATCTCCCTTCCTCTCTGTACAAAATCAATAAAATATATTAAAAAAAAAAAAAAAAAGACATGCAGGCTCCCCAGCCCCCCTTCGCTGAACATTCAGGAAGTCCTTGAGCCCTGACCACTTTCCCATAGGGCACTCCCTGCCCCTCTGCCAGTGTTTGAGCACTTGCTCGATGTTTCCTTGAGTCGGTAGAGGCTGCACTGGTGTCTAGACATCACTGAGTGGCAGTTAAGATCACAGATCTGGGACAGGTTGTTTGAGTTCGAACTTTGGTTGCACCCCACTTACTAGCTCTGTGACACTGGCGATTCCCCTTACTTCCCCAGGTCTTGGATTCCTCCTGGTTTAAGGCGGGAGCCTGGGGTGGGGGCATTAATAGTATCTTAGACTAGTGCCTGACACACAGGGGCTGGTATTATTATTATTATTATTATTGGGGTGGGTATGTTTTCTATTCATTGCTAAGCAATTAGGGCCTTAAAATTATGACTGGTGCCCTGGCCGGTGTGGCTCGTTGGAAAGAGTGTCAGCCTAGACACTGAAGGGTCTTGGGTTCAATTCTCAGGTAATGTCACATACCTGTGATGCAGGTTCGATCCCTGGATCCCCATTGGGCTGCATGCAGGAAGCAACCAACCAATGTGTCTCTCACAGCGGATCTTCTCTCTCTCTCTCTCTCTCTCTCTCTCTCTCTCTCACACACACACACACACACACAACCTGTGCGCTTCTGAGAGCTTCTAGTTTATGTGCTGGAACTAGGTAGAGGTTTTGTTGTGTTTTTACTTTTTATTTGGAAGTGACTTTAGGTTTATAAAAAAGTCACAAAAGCCGAGACCAGTTTGGCTCAATGGATAGAGCGTCGGCTTAGGGACTGAAGGGACCCGGGTTCGATTCCGGTCAAGGGCATGTACCTTGGTTGCAGGCATATCCCCAGTAGAGGGTGTGCAAGAGGCAGCTGATCGATGACTCTCATCGATGTTTCTGGCTTTCTATCTCTCTCCTTTCCTCTCTGTACAAAATCAATAAAATATATTTTAAAAAAAAGAAAAAAAGAAAAGTCACAAAAATAATAGTACAACCCTAGCCGGCTTGGCTCAGTGGGTAGAGCCCATGGATTGAAGGGTCCCAGGTTCAATCTCCAGCCCTGGTTAAAGACTGGATGTGGCCAAAACCGATTTGGCTCAGTGGATAGAGCGTCAGCCTGCGGACTGAAAGGTCCCAGGTTTGATTCCGGTCAAGGGCATGTACCTTGGTTGCAGGCACATCCCCAGTGGAGGGTGTGCAGGAGGCAGCTGGTCGATGTTTCTCTCTCATCGACGTTTCTAACTCTATCCCTCTCAATTCCTCTCTGTGTAAAATCAATAAAAATATATATAAAAAAAAAAAAAGAAGAAGACTGATATGTCTCTCTCACATTCACGTTTCTCTCTGTGTGTGTCTCTCCTGCTCCCTTCCACTTTCTCTAAAAATCAATGGCAAAATAGCCTCTGATAAGGATTAGCAAAAATTAAAAATTTAAATTTAAAAGATAGTACAGAGTTTTCACATACCCCTCACCTAATGTCCCCCATTGTTGCCATTGATAGACTTCTATCAGCTAAACTTCAACTTTATGCTGACTTCACTGGTTGTTCCCTAATACCCTTTTGTTGTCCCAGGATCCCTTCCAAGATGCCCTATGACATTTAGTCATCGCAGGTCCTTAGCCATCTCTGGTCTGCGGCAGTTTCTCTATTTGTCTTTCATGACCAGTGCCAATTGGGTATTCTGTGGAAAGTCCTCCAGTTTGGTTTTGTCTCAGAAATTGGGATTATGGATTTTTGAGAAGATGGTCAGATAGAATTTTTAAAAAATATATTTTTTATTGATTTTAGAGAGGAAGGGAGAGGGAGAGAGAAATAGAAACATCAATTATGAGAGAGAATCATTGATCAGCTGCCTCCTGCACACACACCCCCACTGGGGATCCAGCCTACAGCCCGGCTTGTGCCCTTGACCTGAATTGGACCTGGGACCCTTCAGTCCACAGGCCGATGCTCTATCCACTGAGCCACACCGGCCAGGGCTAGGGTGTTTTTTAATAACTGGACATGAACTTACTCTGGGAATCATATTGCTGGCTGTGTGCTGACGGAGAAAACATTGGGGCAGGGACCCTGGTGCCTTTTCTCTCTGTAGCTGTTGGATCCCAACCAGTTTAACCCTGGTGCCGACTGCCCCACCCAAGACTTGACAGTCATGCTGAGTGGGTGCTCACAGTTAGCTGCCTAGCCCTTGTAAGCATGCTCTGATTTATGTGCAGAGGTCATTGGTGGCTGCTGTGAACCCAGGTCTTGGCACCCTGAGCCTGCTTTTGTGCCCATTCGTGACCAGACCTGGGGCCTCTCCAGGATTCAGAAGCCTCAGTCTCCCCAGCTTCGAAGAGTCCTCCAGGGTTCAGGCGCCCCAGCCCTTTTTCCTCAAACTGGGGCTGGGAGCACGGGTGGGGCTGTGGGGGATTCTTTTTCCGTTCGGAAGGACCAGATGTGTGGAGTGAGGTGACAGTTGCAGGCAGGTTGCATCATCCTGGCTCTTTGGAGGGATTCTCTGGGGGCCTCAGGCCACCTGGCAACCAGCTCCTGATTAGCGGAGCCCTGGATCTGGGAGAGACCGCACAGCAGGGGAGGGTAGTGGAGGGGAGGGAGAGCAGCCACCTGTGCAGAACCCAGAGGATCTGAGGCGCAAGGGCGAGAGGAGCCTCAGATCATAGCGGCTAGCCCACTGTCTGGCCGAGGGCAAGCTGAGGCCCAGGCGGTGAGAGGCGATTATACAGTCACACTGCTGGTTAGAGCCCAGGCCTCCCAACACTTCACAGCTCCCAGGGCTCTGCACTCTGTCTGCCCCTCTCAGATCTGACCCCAGGACAGGGCAGGGCCTGCTGGGAGGCCGCCAAGCCTGGCCCTTCGCCTCTAGTTTGCTGCTGCTCAGTTGCCAGATTCTAATGACTCTGACTTGCCTCTCCCCATCTCCCCTGCCCTGGAGGAGGCCCTCCTCTCCCGTACTAGTGCA